TGCAACAAAGACCAACGAGAAGAATGTGCTCTCGGGGAAGTGGGTGTACCGAATCAAGACTAATGCGGATGGCTCCATCGACCGCTTCAAGGCTCGCTGGGCTGTACGTGGATTCTATCAGCGATACGGAACCGACTACACGGAGACATTCGCCCCAGTCTCCCGACATACCTCCCTGCGCAATCTGCTCGCCGTCGCGGCCATGAAAAAGTTACCACTGCGGCAGATCGATGTTGCCAAGGCTTTCTTGTACGCACCTGTGGACACTGAGATCTTCGTCGAGCAGCCCCACGGCTTCATCAACAATCCTACAAAAGTTTGCCAGCTGATAAAATCTCTCTATGGAATCAAACAAGCCCCGCGGCTTTGGCAGCAGCATCTTCACGGCCGCCTCGTCAAGATCGGCTTCCTGCAGGTGCCACAGGACCAAGGGATGTACCGACTGCAGAAGGGAGGCGACTTTGTCCTACTCATCCTCTACGTCGATGACCTGCTCTACGTCGGCTCCACTATCGACGTCGTCACCTGTTTCGAAGGGGAGTTGAAGAGTGATTTAACACTTACGATGTCAGATACTGTCACCCAGTACCTAGGCCTGAACGTCGTGGAAGATGATTCGGCGTTCTACCTACACACCGGGAAGTACGCAGGCGTCGTCGCGAAGAAATTCGGGCTAACATCGGTCGCAGTCGCGACTCCCTATCGCTACGGGAACGACAATAGCGACACCTCCGCAAAGCTCCCCACTAAGCAGATTCAGCAATACCAACAGAAGCTCGGTTGTCTCCTGTTCGCAGCCGTAACCCGCCGACCGGATCTGACCTACAGCGCTAGTCAACTGGCGACACACCTAAAGCAACCGGAGCAAGAGCACCTCCAGGAGCTGAATCGGGCACTGCTCTATTTCGTCTCTACGCCGACAATTGGACTCACCTACAGCAAGGTGACACCGTCGTCCGTACAAGTACTCGGCTATGTCGACGCTGACCACGCGGGAGACAAGGGGAGTCGGCGTTCCAGAACGGGCTGCATCTACCGACTAGAGCCTATCGGGACTATTTCCTGGCAGTCGAGGAAGCAAGAACTTTTCGGCTGAAGCGGAATACATAGCTCTCTGCACTGCGACCAAAGAGGGACTTAACCTGCGGGAGCTGCTCGAGGAAGCGAAAGTTGCGACCATGCCCGCCTTCTCGTTATTCTGTGACAACCATTCCGCGATCAAAATCGCGAACAAAAACGGGTTCGCCAATCGAACCAAGCACATCACCCTGCGGTATTTCTTCGTCAAGGATGAGATCGCGAAGGGGAGACTTCAACTCAGTTACTGCCCCACGACAGAAATGGCTGCAGATTACCTGACGAAGAAACTAGCGAAGGCAAAGTTCGATTACTACATGCCGCTGACCGGGCAGATAAACGTCACCGAATTCGGACACGTCAGCACTCCAGAAACGAAGGGGAGTGTTGGAAATAACTCGAAGACTTAAGCGTTTGTGAAGCGTAACACTACACTCGAGGAAAGTCGTATCGGGTACGCGAGTCAACGGAGGTTACACGAGGAGGTTGGACGAAAGAATACGAAAGGGTGAATGGACTCGAAGGGTCGCAACCGTAGGTTGCGATTGACCGTTGCGACTGCAAGGGTGGTAACCGAACAGACAATCGAGTCGCTGTGCGACTCGATAACTGTTCCTTCAACAATATTCTACAACTGCTTCATTTCTTATTTTCTATATATTACTGTATGCTTGTTTCTTTTAATCAATCACTTGCTCTCACCTACTAGTGCAAGGGTTCAACTACTCAACACTTCCGCTGCACTACTCTAGCGTTTTGTACAAGTGGGACTTAGTGTCTGAAAAGATCCTAAGGCTTTTTTCTCAGCCCAACAGTTTCGTACCTATTTTCCCCTTCAATTTACACTAGTCAAATCTAACACCCACTCCATCATGTGTCATATGTCAAACCCTATGTTTGTATGTTGTTATACACTACACAGGGTTGTGCCTTAGAGAGTTTAACCCACTAGGATATATATTCCCTTGTATGCCGTGCTTCAACTCATTCGCTAACTTAGATATGGTATCATGAGTAAGTTAGGTCCCCCCCGCCCACCAGCGCTTCCGCCATAGGTCCTAGCCGCCTCGTAGCCCGTGCCGGCCCCGTCACCTCGCAGCCCCGCGGCCCCGTTACCTAGCGGCCCCGCGGCCCCGTCACCTAACGGCCCCGCGGCCCCGTTACCTAGCGGCCCCGCGGCCCCGTCACCTAGCGGCCCCGCGGCCCCGTCACCTAGCCGCCCCGCGGCCCCGTCACCTAGCGGCCCCGCGGCCCCGTCCCCTAACGGCCCCGCGGCCCCGTCACCTAGCGGCCCCGCGGCCCCGTCACCTAGCGGCCCCGCGGCCCCGTCACCTAGCGGCCCCGTCCCCTAGTGGCCGCGCGGCCCCGTCACATAGCGGCCGCGCGGCCCCGTCACCTAGCGGCCCCGCGGCCCCGTTACCTCGCGGCCCTGCGGCCCCGTCACCTCGCGGCCCCGCGGCCCCGTCCACTAGCGGCCCAGCGGCCCCGTCACCTATCGGCCCCGCGGCCCTCTCGCCAAGCCACCCGCGGCCCCGTCGCCTAGCCGCCGCAGCCCCCGTCTTCTAGCCGCCCAGTGGCCCCGCCGCCTAGCCGCCTAGCCGGCCTCGTCACCAAGCCGACCCCGTCATCTAACGACCCCGTGGCCCCGTCGCCTCGCCGACCAGCTAGCCTCGTCGCCTAGCCGCCCGCGGCCCTGTTCTCTAGCCGTCCCGGCCGACCCCGACGCCCAGCCGCCTGCTGCTCCGTCGCCTCGCAATCACATCGGTCCCTCCCACCGCAGTACTCCGCACTCTACTGCACTGCACCACGCTCCACCGTACTGCCCCGCTGTCTACCGCACCGCACCACTCACCACTGCTCCTTGTCACACTCCATCGCTCAGTACAGCCCACTATCGCCTGTCAGTTGCTGCATCGACCAGGATGGCGAACTCGGTGCTGCGCTTTGACGCGGAGGGTCAGCCGGTCGAGTTCCACACGTGGCTCGTCGACCTCCGCCGTCACCTCACTGGTCAGAGGCAGGACGGCCTCCCTCTGTGAGAGTACGACCCTGTTCCATTCCTTTCTCCTTTCCATTTCATTCCTCTTTCCATCTTGATCCATTTGGTCTGTGTCTCATTCCATTTGGATTCCTATTTCCCCTTTTCCATAAACCTTTGGTTTATCTTGTTATTATCATTATATCACCGACAAGGCTCGGGATGTACAGGTGCGCTATATCTAGCGTAATCCTGCCGTAATCCCTTAAACCCAATAGCCTCGCGTGGCTATACGCAGGGTGATTCTATCTTCTAGAAGGGTCTATTTCCTTAGGAAAAGATAAACCTGGTTACCTGATGTACTTTGGAAGTATAGAGGTGCCTTGTATCAATCGATAGTGCAACCTTTCCTCGAGACATTCGATCATGTAACACTTGGTAATCAGAGCTTTTCTCACTCGACCGCGCTCAGCTAAGCAGCGGCAGTGGGGATCCTGCCTCGAAAAACCGCCGGGGGCGACCAATTCGACGCCGATTCTGGTAAGCACCAGCTTCGCGTTTTATCGAATTACCCCCTCCGCGCGTGTTTTGAACAGGATGGAGAACTTCGACAACGCCGAAGTTACCCAGCAGCTCTTCGCGCGCATCGCAGCCCTTCAGGAGGAGGTGCGAGCGGATCTCGAAGTGTGCCGAAACGAGTTCGAGCGAGTAACTCGACTCGCCGGAGCGCAACACGAAACGACAACGGCGACGATGCAGCAGTCGCAGCAATTTCTCGGGGCTCCGAAACCGCACCCACCTGAGCCTTTCGATCCGAGCGATCGAAATTCCGACGTCCGCAGATGGATCGCCAGCATGGAGATCTACTTCGCAGCCGTCGATGGAGCTCGCCAGTCTGGGACGGTCAGTGCGAACTGTTATAATCACAATAGGCTCAGAGGTGCCTAAAATGAGAGAAATTGTGCAGAGTCAGAATTCCGTCAGACAGATTCAAATATTGATGCCGATCTGATCTGTGCCTCAAACAATGATCTGTAAAGTGGATCTGGAACGTGCTGCTGTCGCCTATCAGCAGCAAGTTGAATCATAAAATTCCATGAAGATTTGACGACGCTATGGCGGTTTGACTGGCAGAAGGTATAGCAGCCACTATAGTCTTGGAAGTACAAACTTAGGAAGAAGAATTCGAGATGGAGATGGTTCCCAGCCTCTACATACCCCAATAGCCGAGGTCCAGGTTGGTGGTACACCACCACAGAGTCCCCAACCACGAAGAGTTTCGAAACCAACCCTCCAAGGGGCTACACCAAGTGAAATGTAACACTATACGAAGTAGCGTTACCATTTTCACTATTTAATATTTATCCGCGTCCCTTGGGCTTGAAATCTTGAGGTCTTGGTCTTGGATCTGCAAGACAAATTCTTCTTGAGTTGAAGGGGGCTTGCTGCACACATCTGCGACGCCATGGACACTTCATACTCGACAAAATAGAAAAAACACATGCGACACACAAACGACGACTTGACATGCGAGTTGTAAAAACTCGCTAATGTCTTGACCGACACAAACCACATTGTGATACACCATTCAAACACACACACAAGCACTGGATAGCAATGACATAGACTCACAATTCATTCCATGCCATGCATGCACATACACAAATTAGGACGACAAGTCGAGTGCAAGCCATAGGGTTGCACCAACAAACTCCCCCTCGGATTGTTGGCCTTAGAATCTGCTCCCCTTAGTTCAGAGCCATCCCAGCAAGCTTGCAACACTTCCAATGCTGCTGCTCAACCAGCCTCTTGGTCATCATATCAGCTGGCTGCGCCGTCGTCTTCACGTAGTGCAACTCCACTTCACCCGCGGTTACCATGCTCCTCACCCAATGCCACTTCACCTTCATGTGCTTGGTAAGGCCATGAAGAACGGGGTTTTTTGCCAATGCAATAGCACCTTGGCTATCACACTAGAGTGGGGTAGGTCCTTGCTGCTCCTCCCCCAATTCAGCTAGCAAACGCCGCTGCCACACAACCTCTCTTATGGCACGGAAGAGTGCCATGTACTCGGACTCCACTGAGCTCAATGCTTGGTCCACTTGTTTCTTGCTCTCCCAAGCTGTTGGTCCTCCACCAATACAGCAGATGAAGCCTCCCACACTTGTCATGTCCTCTGGTTCTGATGCCCAAGATGCATCAGAGAAGGCGGTGAGAAAGAGCCTCCCGGGTTCGACTCCATCCGCACCCTTTTGACGCATTTGTGCCGCCGCGGAGTATTGCAGTCCAACAGTTGCTGTTTGGCCAAGGTACTTGGCCACCCTCTCTCCAGCTGCTACCTGCTCTTCATTAGGGCATTGGACAACCCTAGCCAGCTGCCCGGTAGCAAAGGCTGCATCCGGCCTTGTGTGAACGGCCGCATACATGAGGCTGCCCACCAAGGAGTGAAACCGGCGCCTCTCCTCTTCACCAACACTTTCCTCCGCTGGTCCTTTCGCACACTTGAACCCCGACGGAAGAGGAGTAGCCACATGACCTTCACTCTTCCCAAAGTTTGCAGCCAAGGCCTCCAAGTACTTCTTTTGATGCACTCGCATCCACCGCTTCTCCACATCTCGCTCAATGTGAAGCCCAAGGTAGTAGTTGGCGTCACCAAGGGTCTTGCACTTGAACCTGTCTTGAAGCTTCAGCATCACATCCTTCACAAGGTCAGAGGAGGGTGAGAATATGAGGATGTCATCCACATAAACCACCATGAAGCTCTTCTGCTCCCGAAGGATATCCACTTTCGGCTTCCTTCAAATCCACTCCACATAGGGCACCCATTTGTCTTCTCCCACGTGAGTCAAGGCTCTGTTCTTGGCCACACAAGCATGCCGCACCGCATCTGGCCAAAAATAATTCGGTAGACCGGCTTCAATGAGAAGTCCCCGAGCCGTCTTTGTGAGTGTCCGATTCGCACGCTCGGCGATGCCGTTCATTGCAGGAGAGTAGGGCATGGTAAGAGAGTGCCTTATGCGCTGCTTCTTCAGCCAAGTTGAGAAATCCTTGCTGAGGAACTCTCCCCCACGGTCAGTGCGAAGTGCCTCCACAAGCCGGTCTTGTTGCCGCTCCACCATCGGCAACCAATCGGTCTTCACCGTTTCAGCTACGTCACTGTTCTTGGGCAGCACATACACCCAAGTCATGCGAGTGTAGACGCTCACTATGGTGAGGAAGTACTCAGCTCCAGCAGCTCCAAGCTTCAAGGGGCCCACCACATCCATCACCACCTCATCAAGTGGTGCCTTTGCCGTTGTCTCCGAGCTATGGAACGGGTAGCGGGTGAACTTGGCTTGCATGCATGTTGGACAGCCAAGCACCTCATTGGGCTCCCCCTTGACACGTATCCCACTGACCATCTCTGCTTAACTATCTGCTGCAAAATGGGCAATGCCACGTGCCCCATTCGCCAATGCAAGGTCAGCCAATCACACTCTCCCGTAGCGGAAGTCGGGTTGGAGAAAGCGGCACTCGCAATTGTGCCCCACAAGCTCTCTCCTTTCTCCTTCACCGCTGCAGCTTTGTTGATCTTAGGCTTCTCCTCCTCATTTCCACCACCTTTGGCTGCTGCACCACTCTCCTTGGGTTCACACGCCTTGCTGGTCTCTCCAAGGTTGCACTCCTTCGAGTCACTCTTGGTGTCACTTTGTTTTCCGTGATCACCGCCACCAACCGCTTCACTCTGGGTGCTGACGCTTGCTGCCACTTGCCTCCCCTTAGGCATGGGGACCACTGGGATTTGCCACATCTCATTGTAGATGTCCCTGTCCTCATGAAGGTCCCAAAGCTTCCGCTCACCAAGCCTCGCGGTATATGTTTTGGAGCCCTTGGAAGATGTGTCCATGCCGGCCTTTTGCAAATGCCGAACAGAGATCCGGTTGGCTGCTAGGTTGGGCACCCAAAGCACGTTCTTGAGGCCCACCATCTTCCCATCAGCACCCTTGAACATGGCCTTGCCCATGCCTTTCACCTCTGCTCGCTGCCCCAAAGCCGATGTAACATGCTTGACCGGAGACGGTTCGAGTTCGGTGAGCAAGTCCGCACGAGGTGTCATGCTATAGGTGGCGCCGCTATCGATCACCCAAAAGTCCAGAGAGTGAAGGGTGACCTTTCCCACAGTAGCTGGCTCCTCAAAGCCTTCCACACCTCCTGCTGCAGCTGCCGCTTGCGTGGAGACAAAGAAGAATTGGCCCGGGTATCGATCTTCACTCGAGTCCTTGTCGTAGTCTCCACCTTTCATGCTTGCCGCTTCACTTCCACGACCACCACGGCCTCCACGACCTCTGCCTCTTTCTCCCCTTGCTCCTCTACCCTCTTGGCCTTGAGAAGGAGTCCATCCATCAGGCAATCTGAAGCAATCTCTCCATATGTGGCCGATCTTGTGGCAAAAGTGGCATTCGCCATCAAATCGACCGCGCCCACGCCCGTAGTCGGGAGGCAGTTGGTTTCGACAAGTTCGGGAGGAGTGGTGCCCATGAAGACACTAATGACCGCACCATCGGCCTTCTCCCAATTCTTGTACTTGAGCAGTGCAGCAGCATAAACTGCTTCGGCGGCGGCATTAGCTGGATCGGCGGACCTCTCGGGTTTAGGAGGCTCTTTGCCGTCACCGATGACGTCGGTAAGCTGGAGCCCCTTCACCTCGCGACTGAGGAGGTGCTTGTCGACACCATAGCGCCAAGCCTTGTAGTTGGAGCATGTACCGTCCGGCTCGAGACGAAGGAGCGGGATCGGGTTGGCGAGTGAAGTGGTTGAGTAAGCCATTGTCGGTGTGCAGCGCGGCACTTCTGGAAATTGGTCGACGAGAATTGCTGAAAATCACTCTGACGGCTGTATCAAAATGCCGCTAAGTAGGAAATGGCGTCGGCGAAAATTCGTTAAAACGCCGACTTGAAACTGAATCTGAGCCTATGTCTAACCCCGGACCCACACACCCCCCCACACACCCCCAGGCCCTGTCCCGCAGCTACACAGCTCCGCAACTAGCTCCGCAACCAGCTCCGCAACCAGCTCCGCAACCAGCTCCGCAACCAGCTCCGCTCCGATTCAACCTGTGTACCTGCTCTTGCTTGACGCGAGACGTTCGTGGAGGCGATTTCGCGAGAGGAGTTCGCCTATTCTGGCGGGGTCTGAGGGGAAACTCGAGAACGAGTTTTAAGAGATGGTCGAAATTGGGATTCGACCAAGGAGAACAGAGGAGGAACTAGACGACGAGAAGCGTGAACGCTTCAGAGATGAGAAATTCAACGAGGTCGAGCGCGAAGGCGGTCGACGATGAGAGGCGCGACTACAAAGTGGAGCACGTCGAAGTTCCGACGACTCGAAATGAATGTCGCGACGATGAAGTGCACGTAGCGCGGGCACGTTCAGATTAGGACCTTGATCCGCGTGTGCGGATAGGTCGCTCTGATACTATGTAAGAAAAAGAGTTGAAATGATTGATTAGGTAAGGAGCCCAAGGCTCTATAAGTACATGGCAAGGTGAGAGAGAATGAATGAAGGGGGGAATCGGAGGGAATCCCCATTGGGATCTCCGGAATCTCCAATTGGGGAATTGGAGATTGGGGGGATCACAATTGGGTGAGGTTGGGATTTGTGAGTACACCCCAACCCACTAGAACATTCATAACCTGAACTAGGATATATAAGTACAAATACAAAAGTGGTATTTCTAGTCTATTTCTAACAAAGAGGGCAAAGGAGCAAAGGGAGGAAGAGGCAGAGGTCGCCGTAGTGGTCGTGGAAGCGAAGCGGCAAGCATGAAAGGTGGAGACTACGATAAGGACTCGAGTGAAGATCGATACCCGGGCCAATTCTTCTTTGTCTTCACTCAAGCGGTAGTTGCAGCAGGAGGTGTGGAAGGCTTTGAGGAGCCAGCTATTATGGGAAAGGTCACCCTTCACTCTCTGGACTTTTTGGTGATTGATAGCGGCGCCACCTATAGCATGACACCTCGTGCGGACTTGCTCACGGAACTCGAACCGTCGCCGGTGAAGCATGTTACATCGGCTTTGGGGCAGCGAGTAGAGGTGAAAGGCATGGGCAAGGCCATGTTCAAGGGTGCTGATGGGAAGATGGTGGGCCTCAAGAACGTGCTTTAGGTGCCCAACCTAGCAGCCAACCTGATCTCTGTTCGGCGTTTGCAAAAGGCCGGCATGGACACATCTTCCAAGGGCTCCAAAACATATACCGCGAGGCTTGGTGAGCGGAAGCTTTGGGACCTTCATGAGGACAGGGACATCTACAATGAGATGTGGCAAATCCCAGTGGTCCCCATGCCTAAGGGGAGGCAAGTGGCAGCAAGCGTCAGCACCCAGAGTGAAGCGGTTGGTGGCGGTGATCACGGAAAACAAAGTGACACCAAGAGTGACTCGAAGGAGTGCAACCTTGGAGAGACCAGCAAGGCGTGTGAACCCAAGGAGAGTGGTGCAGCAGCCAAAGGTGGTGGAAATGAGGAGAAGCCTAAGATCAGCAAAGCTGCAGCGGTGAAGGAGAAAGGAGAGAGCTTGTGGGGCACAATTGCGAGTGCCGCTTTCTCCAACCCGACTTCCGCTACGGGAGAGTGTGATTGACTGACCTTGCATCGGCGAATGGGGCACGTGGCATTGCCCATTTTGCAGCAGATAGTTAAGCAGAGATGGTCAGTGGAATACGTGTCAAGGGGGAGCCCAATGAGGTACTTGGCTGTCCAGCATGCATGCAAGCCAAGTTCACCCGCTACCCGTTCCATAGCTCGGAAACAACGGCGAAGGCACCACTCGATGAGGTGGTGATGGATGTGGTGGGCCCCTTGAAGCTTGGAGCTGCTGGAGCGGAGTACTTCCTCACCATAGGCACCAATCCCTGAGCCCAAGACTCGAGAGGAGGCCTTGAATGGACCAAATGGGCAGAAGAGGAAGACGAGTGAGGATGAGGAGTTCGGGTCCCTGATTGAGAACGAGACATGGGACCTGTGTGACTTGCCTCCTGGGAAGAAGGCAATCACTTCCAAGATGGTCTACAGGCAAAAGTATGGACCTGAAGGGGAGCTGACCCGCTACAAGTCTAGGCTTGTGACACGGGGGTTTCAGCAGACAAAGGGGAAGGACTATGATGAGGTGTTTGCTCCTGTGGGGAAAGGAACAACACTGAGGGTGCTATTGGCGATAGCTGCACTCCTGGGATGGAAGATACGGCAGATGGACATTGTGACTGCCTTTCTGAATGGGATCATTCTGGAGGAGGTGTACATGAAGCAGCCAGAGGGGCTGGATGATGGGAGCGGCAGGGTCTGCAGGCTGAAGAAGGCCATCTATGGCCTTAAGCAGGCGCCTCGTACATGGTATCACAAGTTGGAGGAGGCGCTGTTGGCTGGAGGTTTCAAGAAGAGTGAGTGTGACCCTAGCCTGTTCCTGCTGCAGGAGAAGGATGAAATCCTCATGCTCTTGGTGTATGTGGATGATATCCTTCTCTTTTCTGCATCAACTGCTTTGCTGGACAGGGCAGAACAGATACTGGAGATGCAGTTCAAGTGTTCCAAGATGGGTGAGGTGAAGTACTACCTGTGGATGCATGTGGAGAGAGATGTGGAAAAGGGTGTGCTGAGGTTGCACCAGAGGAAGTACTGTGAGGGGCTGGCTGAGAAGTATGGGTTGCAAGATGGGGGAAAGCCAGCAACACCACTACCTTCGGGGTTTAGTGTGGAGCCATGTGCTGATGAGGAGGTAGTGGGTGAGAGCGACAGGAAGCTGTTTCATTCGATGGTTGGGTCGCTGAATTATGCTGCAAATCATACACGGCCTGACATTGCATTTGCTACATCACTGTTGGCTAGTGTGGTCTCACGCCCTAGTCATGAGCAGCTGGAAGCGGCCAAGAGGTTGGTCCGCTATGTGAGTGCTATGGCATTAGTGGGATTGGAGTATAGTGGAGTGAGGTAGCGGCTGCAGAGAGGTGCTGCAGATGTGAAGAGTGGTGAGATGCTCTTGAGTTGCTATACTGACGCTAGCTTCAACTCAGTGAAAGCGGATGGCACCAGCATTGGGAGTTATGTGTGCTTGCTAGGAGGTGGTGCTGTGAGCTGGCGCAGCAAGAAGCAGAATGAGGTGGGATTGTCCTCATGTGAGACTGAGTACATGGCCTTACACCATGGAGCCAAGGAAGTGGTGTGGCTGAGGCGCTTGTTAGAGGAGTTGGGAGTTGGTCAGAAGGAGCCGACGGTGATCTTCTGTGACAATGAGTCTGCAGTGAAGCTGGCCAAGAATGCTTGTCTGCATGGGCTGACAAAACACATAAGGCCTAAGTGGCATTGGGTGAGGAGACTCCTTGATAAAGAGGTGCGGCTGGAGATAGCGAAGACCCATCAGTAGGCAGCGGATATTTTCACAAAGCGTCTGGCTGAGGCGGATCATTAGAAGGGCATGAAGCTTGCTGGGATGAGTGTGCATTGAGTATGCATGATTGGGATATTGGTATGGTGGATGATGGTTGGCAGCCAGAGGGGGAGATTGTTGTGTGATGTCATCATATGCTATCACATTCTGTCTGCCTCCCATCCCATGTTTTCAACTTGCATGTGTGGTTTGAACGTGTGCAAGAATTTGTGTGTGGTGTGTTATGGAGTTTGGGAATGTGTTTTGTGTTATTTTTGTTTGAGCAGGTATTTTGTGATGATAGATCTTGAGAAGATCTTTCCGACGTAACAAGAATCGCTTTAATCGGAGCAAGAACGCGAAAGCTATGAAGATTCAAAGTTCATGAGCTTGCGTTACAATTGCGGCGGTTACAAAGTGAAGTTGTGGGGTGACTCTATATGGAGTTGGGACCTTTGGGGTTGGGGAAATTCGTCACTCTACTGTAACAGCTGCAAAATTGGTTGGGAACAACCAAGCTAGGTTGGCAAGGGTGGCCAACTTGGTTGGATTGATTGGGAAGGGACAAATGTCAAAGTTGGGGTTCCTATAGGGAGGGAATCTTTGTGCTTATGGGGTTTTCTTGGTTGGGGACTCTCTTGGGACCTTCCTTCTCATCCCTCTCTTCTATCCCAACCTTTCTCTTGCTCCTCTAATTCCTTGTGACATTCTTGAACTTTGATTGAACATTTGAGATTGAGTTAAGTTCTCCTCCTACAGCTTACCCCCTAATGCGTCGAAAGCCATACCGTCGCGAATACTTCATCAATCAACGTGATTCAAATTGGGAACGGTAGCGGAGATTACGAGCTACAACATATCCAAGTTTCGCGACATTCCAACGGCTCGTTTTTTGTCGACGTCGTTTCTTGTGAAGACGATTTTTCTGTCCAGAATTTCGGATTTATATTTTGAGTAATTCTAGGTCCTAAGTTCACCTAGACTCCGTCCTTAATCCTAACACAGATCTCGCCTATGCCTCTAGCTAGCTTGCGTAATTTCTGCGTCGACCTAAGGGGGAGAATCGGCTAGAACTTCTTCGCGCTCTGCAATATTTCATTTCGACACCTGAAGTCGGACTTACCTATCAAGCTACTACTACGAAAACCTTATATCTTAACAGGTATGTCGATGCGATGCTAATCATGCAACAGATACCACTAATCGACGATCCCGCACTGGATTCATCTATCATATCGAGCATATTGGGACTATCTCGTGGAATTCTACAAAGCAAGAGCTAGTAGCTCTTTCATCCGCTGAAGCCGAGTTTATAGCTGCTTGCACAGCTACTCGCGAAAGTCTCTATCTGCAACAGCTACTGGAGGAAGCGAAATTGATGACAAGTACACAGTTCACCCTGCAGTGCGACAATCAAAGTGCAATCAGAATTGCGCATCAACCTGGTTTCGCCAATAGGACGAAACATATTTCGCTACGGTACTTTCTCGTCAACGATGAAGTTGAGAAGGGGAGAATGCGATTGGTCTACTGTTCGACCAATTAAATGGCTGCAGATTTTCTTACCAAGAAGCTAACACGTCCGAAGTTTCAATACTGCAACGAGCTCTGCTGAATCATCAAGAAGTGACACTATCGGACTTCCAGAAATGAAGGGGAGTGTTGTGGTAAAATCGTACTAAAGCATTTTTGTAAGTAGTTCCGATAGATATTGTCGAGTTACACTGTAGTTAGCATCCGTAGAATGACGTCAGCAAATAGTGTGAGAGTACGACCCCGTTCCATTCCTAAACCCGTTCCATTTCATTCCTCTTTCCAGCATGATCCATTTGGTTTTTATCTGATTCCATTTGGATTCCTATTTCTCCTTTTCTATAAACCTTTGGTTTATCCTGTTATTATCATTATATCACCGACCAGGCTCGGGATGTACTGGTGCGCTATACCTAGCGTAATCCTGTCGTAATCCCTTCAAGCCAATAGCCTCGCGTGGCTATACGCAGGGTGATTCTATGTTCTAGAAGGGTCTATTCCCTTGGGATAAGATAAACCAGGGTGATGTACTTTGGAAGTATAAAAACGCCTTGTACTGATCGATAGTGCAACCTTTCCTCGAGACATTCGATCCTGTGACAAATAGCGCTCGTCTGGATGATTACGTCAGCAAGCCGTTTCAGTCACGGGAACAGTCGCGCTCTTTTCAGTAGCAGTTAGAGCGCATAGCGCAAATAGCTCGAACAAGTACATCACCAAATAGGTACTTTTAGCACATATAAAAGTAGCTTGTACAACTTCAATTATTAACTTGTTCTTCTGTAAATTCTTGTCAACACTTTACAAGTTATAAGACTTCCGCTGTCTTACTAGTCTACCATTCTAGCAAAGATCCTTGGTTAAGTCTTGAAGTATCGCAATGCTGTAACACTAACTCTGGTGTTACAACTTGTTAATACTGGCTGTTACTGGAGGTACTTCTTGTAAGGAATTAGTAATTCCTTAGTGAGGCTTGCTACATGGCGTACGACTCGAACAGTCCCGAACCATCGCCAGGGTTCCAGACCTTTCAGTTCGAGCCTCTTGGGCCTTTCCGGACCTCGCTACGATACATCGAGGCCCTTCAATACCTTTCCCGAACCTTCCGATCAGGGTTGATTTTATCAGACTATTTAGTTTGATTACTCTGAAATTTCAGACCCTTTTTTTGGCCAAACCTGAATTTCCAGATAACCCATTTTCCTAATCCTGATCCCTTCAGACTACGATTCTAGGGATCCTCAGAAAATCAGAGTTGTCGCTAACCCAGTACTGAGTTTCCAGAGCACAGCGCGTACAGACCATGACTTATTATGTAGAGTACCAACCTTTGAAATTTTTTATGAAGTCCCCAATCGCTAGAGACATGCCCCACACACCCCACAACCCCTAAAATTTTTCGGCCAAGTCCCCGAACCCTAGAGACAACCCCCACCCCACACCCCACAACCCATCTAAAATTTCGGCGAAGTCACGGAATGCTAGAGACATCCCCCATACACGCCACACCCATTGAAAATTTCGACTGTCACGTTGTCAGATACAGTCCCCCCCAACACCCGGAACAACCCAGAAGTTTTGAATGAGACTTAAAAAATAAAATAAAAAAAATTGCATTGGAATGAGTGCAAATTCCGCATTCTAAACATATCGAAATTCTCGCCAGTTGCCCGTTTGGTCAACTGAAAGTCTAACAAAATTTAACGGTTACGATCGATTGCGATCGTTTCGACATATATCAATCGTTCGATAGAAGGTAGCGATTAACGCCCAAGATTTCCCAACCGGGGTGCTGCAAGGGCGCGAAATTTCTCCCACCGCCCTATGCCCCGGCTTCCTCCCTCCCTGCCGTTTCGATTCCCCCCTTCCCCTCCATTTTCGATTCCCCCCTCCCCTCCGTTTCGCTTCCCCCCTCCCCTCCGTTTTGATCACTTCCCCCTTCCCCTCCGTTTCGCTTCCCCCCTCCCCTACGTTTCGATCACTTCCCCCTTCCCCTCCGTTTCGCTTCCCCCCTCCTCTCCGTTTCGACCCACCCCCCCCCCCTTCCCCTCCGTTTCGCTTCCCCCCTCCCCTCCATTTTGATTCCCTCCCCATTTCCCCATCGGTTTCGATTCCCCCTCCCCTCAGTTTCGATTTCCGTGGCAGTGCGATTTTACCCCCTCGGTTTTTAGGAATGGCTTCCCCGTTTCCCACATTTAACAACTACGCAAAACGAGGGTCGACAGGGTTGCTGATTGGGGGGGGGGGGGGTGTTTGTGGGAGGATTTTTAATGGCTGCAAGGGACTTAGCCGATTTTTTGGGAGGTATAGGAGGGAGGAATGTTTCTCGCAGTGGGGGTGTTTCCCGTGTGACACTCTGGTTGTACGTGCTGGACCCTGAAAAAATCAGACTCGCTGGGTTTTGGACCCGATTTTTTTTTTTTTTTTTTTTTTTTTTTTGGGTTGGCTCAGAGTGTTAAAATTATATAAGTTATAATTTAATATAGGCTTGGTAGGTTGTTACTGAACCTTTCTGTAGAGGGTACAAACCCCTCCTTGTACTCCTCTCTCTTCCTAATCGACACTCTTCTTTATCGACATTCTCTCATACCCGCTCCTAGATCTACTTTCCTCACGCCATTCCATGGCGACATTCCTAGTATTCTAGCTAAGCTAGTGTCCTAAGTTTAGGAACCTAGTCTCCTAAAATCCTGAGACAGAGTGCCTTTTTTTGAAACGTCAGCCCTGCTTCCGATCCTACGTCCAGGATCACCTTAGGCTTTCTATATTTTGTGTGTTCTTTCATTTTATTGTCATTCACTCGTTCACAGTTTCGCCATTGCCCTCCGCGCTACTCGGCAGTCCCATTCATAACACTTCCAATATTACTTTCTACTTCAAGTACTTGTGTCTGCAGATTCTTTACTTAGTCTCTTGCACCACCTTTCGAATCCTTTCACCTTATACATAATCATTGGCAAAAAATCTTGGCTTACAGGAAAATGTACTTTCAGGGGGCTGGGCTGATGATAATGAGTACCTCAAATCCTATCCAGAGGCCTACGTCCTATATCCTCTCACACACCAAATTGACATGTAAAGTCTAAGGTTGTTGTCAGGGCCATTGCATGGTTCGTTGCTACAAAAATCTTGATAAGATTATTCTGTGCTGGAAAATGCATGAAGTGGGAGAAGACACAAAATAAACTATGAAGATTTAAAATATTCCTATATAGCAATGGATTTTGAAGACTATATACTACTATGTTATCGAAGTGAGGAATCTGGCGATACACATTACTATGGTTGTACCACGGTTCCCCTAACAAGAGGTCTAGGTGCTCACGATAAGATTCAGGTTGTGATGAATGAATGCCACGTCTCCAGTCCGAGGGCAGCTTACAGGACTCGAAAGAGATTGCTTAGCGCTCTTGGTCGTCCGATATTTATCATCGGACGGAAGCCATGAAACATTCTTGCTGAACGGGCAGATGCCACCAACGATGCCTCGTCAACAAACCGAGCCGCTAGAGCGACCGCCGCCCTCCCGAGACGCCTTCAGGATATTTTGTTTGTTGACCAGCCCGTTTCCCAGCCCGCTGACCGGGAGGTAGAAATTTCAAGCTCGAATGGAGTGTACACAGCACACAATATTCATGGCTAGTTTTATTTGTTTGACTGCCAAGAGGGGCGCAAATCCCCCACCCAACCGCGACGCCCTTCCACCCGAGCGGTGCGAGCATTGCCCGATGGGGGAGCAACTTGGGGGGAAATTTTGAGATAAATTGCGGCTGGATTCCATTGACTCCCATCTCCAATCATCATTTCGAAGTTTGGTCGCCTCCTTTCATCATGGCTCCCATGAAGCTCCTCGCTCTTCTCGTCGCGACCTCTGCGCTGCTCGTCGCCCTGCTTACGCCCTCCGCCTATGCGGATTCGGTCGTCGCCGTTAACGGCTCGGGTAAGTTCCCTCATTTTGCGGCTTCTTCCTCAATGACTCATTGAAGAAATTGCACAGAATTCGCTCACAATTTCCACTTCCGCTCATAATCTGAACAGGATTACTGAATCATTCGTCTGTTCTTCTCAAAACATTTTGCAGGTGAGGCTGCTCGCAAGCTCGCGACCCGGCGATTCCTGGGTGACGACCATCACGATGACCACCACGACGACGATCACGACGACGATCATCACCACCACGACGACGACGAGGACGACCACCACGAGGAGAAGCCAAAGCCGAAAGTTAAGCTGACGTGCATCGAGAAGTACAAGATCAAGTACGCGGCGTGCGACTCGGAGGACGAGGCGAAGGAGGCGGCGTGCGAGCGCAAGGCGTACCGGTCGTTCAAGAACTGCAAGTACGGCAAGTGGGGGTGCAAGGACTGGTGCCTCTTCCGCCGCCGCCACTGCATCAAGTACGGCCGCCCCGTTGCGGAGTGCGAGGACAAGTACGTGGAGTGCGTGGAGGCGTGCCAGCCCAAGAAGGAGGAGAAGCCTAAGAAGAAGGATCACCATGATGACGATCATGACGACGATGAGCATCACGACGATCACGACGACGACGACCATCACGACCACCACGACGACTAAATCGGACGGTAGCACTCGCGATAATCGTGAGGGAGCACGTCAGCGCGTGAGGCGGCACAACTTCTTGTTGTGCCGGTTGTCTGTGGTGTCCGACCTTGTGTCGCGCCCTTTGTTCATCTTCGCTCCTGTTTCCGTGCTGAGGGGTCTGGGGTCGTCGGGATTTAGCGGCTTCACAATTTGCTGGTCTATGGTGGGGTGTTCTCGAGTAGACGGTTGGACAGGGAGGGGATGTGTGAGGGGGAGTAGCATAGGGGCAATAATTCTGCTAGTGTCTTGTACTTGTTTCAAGTGGCAATACATGCGGATTTTGGGAGAAGATCTGGTCAGGACGCACAATTTCTCCCAAACATGGCATTGTACGTGCAGAAATGCCTGCTACACACCATCAGGCATGGTGGGGTGATCTGGGGTGAAGTAGTCACTATTGAGGGAGAGAGGGGGTCCTGATTCTCATGGGATACATAAGAATTAGTGGTTAGAATTCATGTCCAGTACTTAAACTGTTGAGTGACAATACCATGCATGCGCTTTGAGAGGAACCTGGGTAACACAAGCATGAATGGTGCAAACATCTTCATCACAAGCCCAAGCAGCGTATGAGTCTTAACCATGCTGCAATACATCTATGATGACAAGGCATGTTGCCCACTCTCTCCCCCCCCTCCTCCTCCCCTCCCCCTCTCCTGTTCCTCTTCAGGGAGATGGTAACCATGCCACATTCCGTCACGAGGATGGTAACCATGCCACATTCCCTCAGGAGGACTGTAACCGTGCCTCGTTCAGTCACGAACGAGGATGGTAACCATGCCACATTCCCTCAGGGGGACTGTAACCATGCCTAGTTCCTTAAAAGGATTGTAACCATGCCACGTTCCGTACACAATTTCTGATGCGAGAAGGAACTCACATGCATCATCATCACCGCCTAGTCTTATCGAGGACCTCTATATGCGACTTGGGAATGCCATGCACGTCCACCAGCAGCCGAGCCAACTCATCCAACACCCCTCCCTGAATCAACACCTCCTGCTGCCCCTTCTTGCCTGTATTCAACACGGATGGGAACAGAAGAGAGAGGGGAAGCAGGGATAAAAAATCAACGCCTCCTGCTGCCCCTTGCTTCACGGCCAGAATATAGGGCAGGCAAAACAATGACGCGGGTATGACAGGTGGGTGAGAAAGATAGACAGACAGTGGACCAGGTAAGTGCGTCAACCAGCACCCCTCCCTGAATCAGCACCTCGTGCTGCCCCTTCTAGCGTGCATCAAACGCAGGGTGGACGAGAGAAGGGGAAGCAGGGATGATAAATCAGCACCTCGTGCTGCCCCTTCTAGCGTGCATCAAACGCAGGGTGGACGAGAGAAGGGGAAGCAGGGATGATAAATCAGCATCTCGTGCTGCCCCTTCTGGCATGTTTCAAAGACAGGGATGGGAATGGAAGCGGGAAGGGAATACGGGAAACCCGATCAATTAGCTCAGCCTCCACCAGATAAACCTCCCAGACCTCTACTCTCTTACGCAGCCACCCACCATGGAACTTCCTACTCTACACACCTGGCACTTCCGCCCTACACCTGGCACACCCTACACAACTGACACTCCAGCCACCGATGTGCTCCAAGCGATTTTTGTCTGCAGCTCAGCAGCCAGAGGCTCAGCCTCCACCAGATAAGCCTCGAGCCCCATGACCCTCGTCACCCTCTTGTTGCCCTGCCGCCGCTCCACCAGAATCTGCACGGGCACCAGCCCGCCCTTCCGCACCACACTCTCTCTGCTAGCCCCAGTACCCGTCACCCCTGGTACCCGTCACCCCTGGTACCCGTCACCCCTGGTACCCGTCACCCCTGCTTCAGCTGAACCCGCCTGGCACTTCCGTCACAGACGTGCTCGAAGCGAATTTCTTCTGAAGCTCAGCAGCCAGCGGCTCAGCCTCCACCAGATGAGCCTCGGGCCCTGTAACCCTCGTCACCCTCTAGTTGCCCTGCCGCCGCTCCACCAGTATCTGCACCGGCAGCAGACCCCCCTTCCGCACCGCCCTCCTAAACTTTAACCCCTGCAACCTTGAGCCCCACACCCGTGAGCCCTGGTACGTGTATTCACGTGAACCCACCTGGCACTTCTGTAACCGACGTGCTTGAAGCAAATTTCTTCTGCAGCTCAGCAGCCAGCGGCTCAGCCTCCACCAGATAAGCCTCGAGCCCCGTCACCCGGGTGACCTTCTTGTTGCCCTGCCGCCGCTCCACCAGAATCTGCACGGGCACCAGCCCGCCCTTGCGCACCACACTCCGCCCCCCCCTCTCCACCCTGTGATGCGCCTGCATCCGCCGCACCAAAGTGGGCCCCACCTCCCTCTTGTGGCACTCCGTTGGGTATGCCGTTCCCTTCTTTATCGCGCCCTTGTACAGCGCGTCACATAGTGTTGCATCGAGGATGACTTTAGAGGGGTCGGAGGGCTTGGTGAGGGAGTGGAGGGTGATGTAGGAGAGGGCGGCATCGCGGGCGGCGGAGGGGGAGTAGAAGCCGTGGGGGTCCAGCCCGACTGTTTCGAAGATGGCAGACACATGGTGGGAGGGCTTGAACACCTCTTCAACTGTCAACTCACCGCTGCTGCTGCTGCTACTGGCGCTGGTGCTGCTGCTACTAGCAGTGGTGGTGGTGGCGGTGGTGGTGCTGGTGCCAGGGGTTGTTCCTGGTGTGGCGGATGCGGCATCTTGGGTGGCAGAAGGAGGGGGTTGGGCGGGTTTGGTTGTCCTGTCTGGCGTGAATGCGACGAGGGCCGGGTGGCGGTAGTTGATGGCAGAGAGAATGAACTCCTTGCGGTGCTTGTCCTCCTTGCCTGAGATCTGAGAGGGGTGTGATGGGGAGGAGGGGAGTGATGGGTGGGTGCGGGCTGAATGGGTGCAATGAGTGCCATGGGTAGTTCATGGCTGAGAGCATAAACTCCTTGCGGTGCTTGCTCCACTGTTGAGCCGGACGTGGTACCCACTTGCTACCCACCTGTCTCACACTCACCCTCGTGCTTCCACTCACCAGCCCGTCAACAGCCTTCGCATGCAGCCATTTCGAGAGCTTCTTATGTGATGACCGCTTGATGTCCACTGTTGTGCCAGGCGGACGACATGGCAGCACGTGATTGGACCTGGCAGCACCAATAATATGGGAGGACAGAAGGGTGTCATGTCATCTCATGCCACGTGTGAGTTACATCCCATGCATTCAACGAGCGGTGGGAGACATAATGAGCACCACTTTTGAGCGGTGGGAGACATTGCGTGGGTGCAGGATCGAATTTGTTAGCAAAGTGTTGAAATTTGAGAATTGACTTGCAGGCTGAAAACGTGATGTTGAAGTCAGAAAAGACTTTCTTGTGTAGAACATGGTGGTTGAAAACTAGTTTCGGCGTAGTCGCCTTCGTCAGACCATGTCACGTCAGAAGGGTGTCATCGCATGTCATGTGTGAGTTACATGCCATGCATTCTCTATGTGAAGCATGTGGCAGCAGCAATTTAGGCTACTGCCACTGTTGTGCCGGGCGGGCGGCACGGCAGCCCATGATTGGAGGACCTGACATGAAAGTGTTTGGCGGGACAAGTGGCAGAGAAATCACCTGATGACTTTTGAGTCGACTCAGAAATCACCTGAAGAAAAGCCTGGAAAACCGCCTGTGGGGTGCAGCTGTGTGGTGCAGCTGTGTGGTGCAGCTGTGTGGTGCAGCTGTGTGGTGCAGCTGTGTGGTGCAGCTGTGTGGTGCAGCTGTGTGGTGCAGCTGTGTGGTGCAGCTGTGTGGTGCAGCTGTGTGGTGCAGCTGTGTGGTGTAGCTGTGTGGTGCAGCTGTGCGGTGCAGCTGTGTGGTGCAGCTGTGCCACCTGAGAGGGAGCTCGCCAGAAAGAGCTAGCAGGGAGGGGCAGGCGCAGCATGTGGGCTTGAGGGACGGCAAGAGAGAGAGGTTGCAGCAGACAATGACCCCACAGCTGGTGTCGCTGGTGTCACTGGTGTCACTGGGGGAGCAGGGGAGCAGCTCACCACAGAGAGGCAGCTCACCACAGAGAGGCAGCTCACCACATAGAGGCAGCTCACCAGAGGGAACTAGCGGCCATTGGCAGATGGGCGGGCTTGACAGACATGGCCAGGGCCTGCCTGCAGCAGGCAGCGATCCAGCAGGTGGTCCATCAGCGCTGGCGTCGCTGCTGGTCGTGGTGGTGGGGCCGGTGCTGCAGTTTGATCTTACCAGAGGGAGCTGGCTCCTAGAGGCAGGTGAGTGGGCTTGATAGACACGGACAGCGCCTGCAGCAGGCACCGATCCAGCAGGTCGTCCATCTGCGCTGGCGTCGCTTGTGCTGCTGCTGCCGCTTGCTCTCCCACCTCGCCGTCCCCAGCACCACTATCCCCAACGCCACCAGCCGAAGCACCGGTGGCGTCTAGGCCCATTTGCCGCAGAGGTTCCGCCAGCTGCTGCGGCGAATCGGACACTGACGCTGCTGCTGCTACTGCTGCTCCGTAGTCCTCTTCTGCCTGCTCTGCAGCAGCAGCAGCAGCAGCAGCAGCAAGAGTATGTTGAGGTGAAGTGTCGGGATCTGTGCTCTGCCCCTCAGGACTTGCCTGGGCAGGTGCATCAGGGTCTGGCACGACTATATCGGCTAAAAAGCCCTTATTGGGGACGTAGGAACCCTCTGCTGTTTCCCTGCAGCATGGGGTGGGGGAAAAGAGGGGGACAGGTCAGGGGTGGATAGATAGGCATGGGCATTGGATGATGAGCAGCTGATCTGAGCGAGCTTCAGAACCAGGTAGGACCACATCGGACAGGAAGCCCGTATTGGGGACATGGGATGGGACCCACCCACTGGGACCCACCCGCTGGGACCCACCCGCTGTGAATGTGGGCTGTGGCCTTGCATGCACTGACCCACCCACCCTATCCTTCATTGGAATCAAGCATTACGACGACAAATGAAAGGGACGGGCATAAACAACTTTCGCTGTTTCCCTATGAGCGTGAATCTTCTGAAAGCGGTCGGACATGCATATGCATGCACAGCCGGGAGAATTCTGAGTCGAGTCGTACGACACACGTGGCCCGGCCCCGTGGCAAATTTGTAAGGCTTAAGGCAGAACCCAAGAGGTGATAACACTTGGGTGAACGCATTTAAAGTGGCGCAAGTGGTCATGCATAAACGGACCATAACGAGTCGCGGTAATAGTGGGTTATTCGGAGTAGTTTCCCCCGCATGCCTGCTTTGACGGCCTCTGCACTCCCCACCATGGTTATGCCAACCTGGTGTGAGCGAGAGATGGTGGAGGCACATACACAATTATGTACACAGTTGCACACATGCACTAATACCACATGCACACATACCACATGCACACACACCACATGCACACATGCCACAAGCATGCACACATACCACATGCACACATCCACACATACATCCGCACACTCGCACACATGCCCACACATACACATTCTCCTACACACATCTTCGCACGTACGTACGCACACACGCACGCGCGCGCGCACACACACACACATGCACACATGTGCACACAGATACACACAAACACACGCACACACAAACATGGAAGAGAAAAATGTATAGTGTGAGGTGCAATATTGCGTTCTGTGCAATCTGTGAAAATGCAGAGCAAGCAAGCATCAAGCCCTGGGCAGTGCGGCCAGAGAGAAGGCAAGCCATGCATGCCTGGATTTACAGCAATGGGGCACAGCCATGAAGGTAATGGGGTAATGGCATGACGCCCTGGGCGCAGCCATGAAAACACGAGAAAGCACTTACAGCAATGGGGCATGAGTTTCCAGGAACCTTCACGGACCACACCTCCCCTGGCCGAAACCCTGGCAGCCCTGCAGCAGGCATCTGATGGGCAGGGGAGAGGGCGGCGAATAAAAAGGGAGTGGGGGGGGGAAGGGCTAGTAATGTGGAAATGGAGCCTTGAAATTGGTAATCTTGGTTACAAAGGAACAGTCTCACCAAAAAGGTTTTTTCTTCTTCTTCTTCTTTTCCCTTTTTTTTTTTTTTTTTTTTTTTTTTTTTTTTTTTTGTAGAGCCGACAATGGACAAGCACATCATCTAAGAAAAAAAAAGTCTGGCACGGTAGGGTACCCTCGCTCTCCCTACCTGACAGCACGCAGCGAGACAATTGACCCCCCTGAGGAAGAAATGATCCCTGGCAGCGCAGCGGCCCATGACACCATCGCCCATCCTGGCCCCCCCTGCACTGACTGCTCTCCCCTCTGTGCGTACAAGGTGACTTTTGAGTCGACTCAGAAGTCAACGCAGCAGCCCATGACACCATCGCCCATCCTGGCCCCCCCTGCACTGACTGCTCTCCCCTCTGTGCGTACAAGGTGACTTTTGAGTCGACTCAGAAGTCAACGCAGCAGCCCATGACACCATCGCCCATCCTGGCCCCCCCTGCACTGACTGCTCTCCCCTCTGTGCGTACAAGGTGACTTTTGAGTCGACTCAGAAGTCAACGCAGCAGCCCATGACACCATCGCCCATCCTGGCCCCCCCTGCACTGACTGCTCTCCCCTCTGTGCGTACAAGGTGACTTTTGAGTCGACTCAGAAGTCAACGCAGCAGCCCATGACACCATCGCCCATCCTGCCCCGGCCTGCACTGACTGCTCCCTCCTCTGTGCGTACAGCCCACCTGCACGGCTCACACAACTACCCAACAGCCCCTGCCTGCACTAGATGCTTCCCACCTGCACTAGTTGCTCCCCACCTGCACTAGTTGCTCCCCACCTGCACGCCTGGCGCCATGAGGTCAGCCCCTGACAGCACGTAGCGGGACACCTCGCCCCCCTTGAGAAGAAACGATGGCACCAGGTCGGGCACCCGCCACAGCGCAAACACTGGGAAGGCGCGGAAGGGTTCGGGGTTTGGGGATTGGGGTTTGGGGTGGAAGGGAGAAGAAAAGCAGGTGGTTGTTGAGTTGAGTCGATCTGATGACCATCCCTGATGGGGAGCACGCTGGACAGCTCGCCCCCCTTGAGGAGGAATGCGGGCGGCAGGCCCGGCAGCACCCGCCAGGCACATTGCAAACAGGAATTCAGACCTCAGTGGTTGCATGAGGTGTGGGGTTCAATGTGAGGAATGCTGGCACCACCCAACTGTTGTGCTGAGCTGAAGGTGATATTCGCCTTTCGGACGGCCAACTTACGAGAACAAGAGGCTGATTAGCAGGGCCGGGGGAGGGAGAGCACCATAAGGTTACCACATGGGTGGTGGCGTGGTTACCACATGGGTGGTGGCGTGGTTACCACATCGCAGCCCGTGTGTTACTATTCGCCTGTCCGTGTGGTTACATCTCCGTGTGGTTACCAGTGGGGTAGATCTCGGTACCCCGGCCGTCGCAGTCGAAGAGCATGGGCAGCCCGTTCTCGAAGCCGTACACCAGCACGCGATTCACCAGCCGCGTCACCGCCACGTCAGCCTGGACCAGTGAGAACAACCGAAAGCGCGGTTTCGCGAAATTTACTGGGAATTATGGACACCCACCGACGACCGTTTAGAATCACCAGAATCTGAGAGCGCAAGCATCCAAGTGGAATAAAAACGAGCCAGATATAGAGTGGAGAGGGACGCCCGGGAATACTAGGTGGTTGATGCAGGGGGCGGCGAGGAGGATAAAGCGGGGGGTTTCTAAGAGTCACCTTGGGCGGCAGGATGGCGTCCAGCTGTTCATCGGTGGCGCCGGGGAACTTGTCTCGGATGTTTCGTCGAAGCTTCTTTCTGTCGGCTCCTGACAGGCGCTGCTGCCCGCGAATCTCGCTGGGCTTCTTGAACATGGCGGCGATCGTCAAGCATACCTTGAAATGATCGTGATTTATGGAGTTCTCCTACATTCTACTACTCCCGAAGCTGTAGTAAGAATTGGTGTAATGGGCTTTACCGAATATATGAGAATACTGTAGTATTATAACATCAGGACATTAGGGCCCAGGACCTCCAATTCGTGATCCCGAATAAAGTCCGGACCTTAACGTGGTAACTAATTTGGCAAACTTCGCCAAGTAATCTCGAACATCGCCAAAACTATTCGCCACAATTCGCTCTGACGATGGAACATGGGTCACGAAAATCGCCGTCCGGACCGGGACAGTACCACTTTCGAACCACTACCCTGGTCGCATGACAGGCAACGCACGAAATGGTGACGCGAAATGCTGTGTCACCAAAATCTGGCGGGGTGTTCCGTACCAGCTGTTGGTTGCGCGATCAGCATGTGTCGCGAGCTGTCGCGACGCATGGCGAAAATCGGCGACGCATGCAAAATGTTGCTAATTCCCCGCTCTTTCGCGAAAGGTATTCCAAAATCTAATGGAACATTGGGTGGTTGGGCCTGTTCAGCTAGGTGGTCCGGTGGGTGGTTCGGACTTTCAGGGGAGTGTTCGGACTGCCAAAATTCGTGACATCGTCCGGATTTTGGCATTACGTTCCGATGTTCCGCGCCCTTAGCAAATCGAATGCCGCTTTTACCAGATACATGCCTAAGTTCGTGTGACAAGTGAATACGCCCGCGGGGTACACTTCACCGCCACGCAATGGCTTGAGAACACGTGTCTTGCTGCTGACGTGGTGCATTAGACGCCCACCATGGACAGCACCCTTGTCGTACGGACCAATTAGCTTCGAGCTCTACGAGAGGTTTTTGTATCGAGCTAAACCCGGTCTAGTGTCATTCACCTCTGTGGATGTTTCAGGCTATCCGAACCCCCAATCTCCTTTCCAATTTTTGTTTGTAATACGACTACACGCAGTAACAGAATTGTTCACAAGCCGCAAGCCTTTGTTTTGGGCGCCGTTTAGAGAAAATCGATGTAGCAAAGGCTGATATGTTCACCTCGGTATTGTTTCAACGGACACGTCTATTGACACGCAACGCGAGGCAGCTCGCCTTACGGGACACGCCCTGGATGAACAGAGGGTCAGAGTTCAGAGCACTTGCTTCCTGATTGTCAGTCTCAAGCGTGACTTGCTTGCCATAGTCTACTGACTCACGCGCTTAGACGGGAAACCAGGCGGCTTCTCTGTCGCGGCAAATTCTCGCGTTAATAGCGTTAGGACGGAAATTTAGGCGATATTTGAGCCTTCTGAGTCTTCAGATAAGCCAGCTCGCGTCTTACTCCCCTTCGAGTGAGTTTTGCAAGCGTTGAGTCGTGTCAACGCTACCTCCCGGTGCGCTCCTTACAACTCCTTATTCTTCGAGCGGCCACCAGTTCTGCGACGTTTTGAGGCGCCTAAGCAAGTCTCTACTTTGACATTCCTCGTTACCGCGGCTCGATTCCCGAAAGGAGCTAGATCCCGAATTTTCGCCAATCCCGAGTTTCCGCCTATCCGGAGTTTCCGAGCACTTCTTGCAGGACAATCCGCCTCTGCCGGGCGCCATGAGCACTGCGACACTCGTCGCTTCCAACCAGGCGTTTAAACCGCAATGCGTTGACTCGCGCACGCGGATACACGGTAACCGTACCGTTGGCGTGGTTACCGAAGCGTACCGCGAGCAACCGCAATGCCGCATGGCCGCGCACGCACAGCAAAGAACGATCCGAACCGTCCGACCAATCCAAGCAGCAGCGGATTCGCCGCTGCTGCAGCGCGCGGGGCCGCTTTCAGGCGTCCCTTTTGGCCGTAGTCACGCAAACTCCCTCTTCAATTACAATCACCTGCGTTCTAGTCACAACCGCAGCCAAAACCATTCTCGCGCCACGCCCGTATCAGCCGCGCTTTGGCCCTGGCAGCAGCAGCAGCAGCAGCAGCAAGAGAAGGCGCAGAGCAATAGGAGCGGAGTGGTCGGGGCTGCAGGGTCGGCTGCAGCAGAGGAGACGGAGAGAAGCGGGCTACGGTCAGGGGTGAGTGGGAATGAAATAGGGCCGTTGCCGTGTTACATTGTAACGAGGTGACCTTTGAGTCGACTCTTTACTCATCGCAATAGGAGCGCAGTGGTAGGGGCAGCAGGGCTGGCGGTGGCAGAGGAGACGGAGGGAAGCGGGCTGCGGTCGGTCAGGGGTGAGTGCGAAAATTTGGCGGCTTCTTTTTCAAAGTTGTATGTGCTAGGCTAGGTTTTTGAGAATTCTCAAAAGCCATTCACGCACTTCAGTGCATGTGTGCACAGCACAGTGCATGCACCTATCACGCGGAAATTTGTCGGCTTCTTTTTCAAAGTTGCATGTGCATGTGTGCTTTGTGTCTGCGAATGGAGAGGTGAACTGAGAGCTTTCGACGGGGAACATGGGGGGTGATAGGTAGGGGTGGGGTGATGGTTGCTAGCCTAGCCTGCATATTTAGTCACAATGCACACATACAGACACTGCGATCAGTAAGCGCCAATCTCCTCCCTCTCTATATTGTCACCACTTCGGTACTTTCACTTCTTTTTGTTCATCTGCGGTTGGTGCGGGAATGTCCAGCAGCCCTCACAGGACAGCCGCATCATTTATATTGCACCCATCCCTGCTGCTAACTGGCACGCCTGCGCTCCTGTTAAGCCCAGAGGCCCCTTTACCCCCGTTAACCCATTCGCCCCGCTCTCTCTTTTTGAGGCGCCTCAAAAATAGACTCGTTACCCCATTCGCCCCGCTCTCTCCCTTTCCGCTGACATGCGAGCAGGAAGCCCCCGCTACAGCGACATCCCTCACAGTCACAGTCTCGTCGTCAATAGCGTCCATCCCTGCTGCTGACTGGGACGCCTGCGCGCTGGACGCGGCAGGGGGCGCGGAGAAGCACAATCCGTTTGTGTCACACGCGTTCCTGCAGTGCCTGGAGGAGAGCCGCAGCGCGTGCCGTGAGGAGGGGTGGTTGCCGCAGCACCTGGTGGCCCGGGACAGCGAGGAGAGGATCGTTGGCGTGCTGCCCCTGTATTTAAAGGGGTATGTTCTGAAACTAGACACCGTTATGCCTTTGGCTATAAGAGGAGGGGTGGCTGCCGCAACGTTGGTGGCGAGGGATGGTGAGGAGAGGGTTGTTGGCGTGCTGTCCCTGTATTTAAAAGGGTATGTAAGGGTGCGTCCTTAGTGGTTGGTTACCACAGCACCTGGTGGCGAGGGATGGCGAGGAGAGAGGATCGTTGGCGTGCTGCCCCTGTATCTGGAAGGGTATGTCATGTTATTATGAATGGGTTTTCCTTGCCTTGTCTTTTAGAGGGGCTTATCTATGGATAGAAGGTGCCGGGAGGAAGGGCGGTTGCCACAGCAGCACCTGGTGGCTAGGGACGATGAGGAGAGGGTTGTTGGCGGCGTGCCGCCCCTGTAGTTGATGTCTTCTCATTGCAGAGGCGGTTTCAAAGCATACTCCTCTCCTCTCCCGTCCCCCCTTTAGAAATCCCTTCCTTCACCTCCCTCTCCCTCTCCCTCTCCCTCTCCCTCTCCCTCTCCCCCTCCCCCCACCCCCTCCTCCCGCTTGCCCTTCTCCCCCACCCATTCATACAGAGAGTGTGTGCTTGTTTTTGAGGCGCCTAAAAAAATAGACCCCTCCTCCCGCTTGCCCCTCTCCCGCCACCCATTCATACAGAGAGTATGTGCCTTTCCTGGGCGAAGCCATTCATTCATAATCGACCACTCCTGGGCGATGTGGCGCCTTTCCTCTCCGTGCCTTGTCACCCCCCCCCCAGCCTCTCGTATGGGGAGTCTATTTTTGAGGCGCCTCAAAAATAGAATCCTCTCTGTGCCTTGTCATCCCCCCCCCAGCCTCCCTTCTGGGGAGGGGAGTACGTCTTTCACCATTCCTGGGCGAATGCGTTCAAGCGAGCCGAAGGCTCATACCACCCCAAGCTGTGGTCTGGTCGGATTGGCGCCTTTCTGTTCCCTAGATCCCCCCTCTCTCCCCAGCCACTCTTACACAGACTATGTCTTCCACCATGAGTATGTCTCATGGGCGAATGCCTTTATGAGGGCAGGAGGCTCCTGCTACCCAAAGCTGTGGTTTGATCAGATTGGCACCTCTCCTCCCTGCCATCCCCTGTCTCCTCTTCTCAACCCCCCTCTCTCTCCCCAGCCATTCCTACGGCGAGTATGTCTTCGACCACTCCTGGGCGAATGCGTTTATGCGGGCAGGAGGCTCCTACTACCCCAAGCTGCAGTCCTGCGTGCCCTTCACGCCCGCCACCGGACCTCGCCTGCTGGTTCGGGCCGGACCTGACCGCGAGGCTGTGCTGGGGGGGCTGTGCCAGGCCATGAAGCAAGTGGCGGACGAGGTGAGGAATGGAGGGGGGTGGGAGGTGGTGGAGGTGGTTTGTGGGAAGAGGGGGTTGTACCGCGCGATAGGAGTCTAGTTAGGAGTCTAGTTAGGAGTCTAGTTAGGAGTCTAGTTTTGAGGCGCCTCAAAACTGGAGGTGGTGGTGGTTTGTGGGGAGAGGGGGTTGTACGGGGAGGGGGGGCGGACTTAGAGGGCTGTGATCCCCAGGAGCAGGTGGCGGACGAGGTGAGGGGTTGAAAGGTGGGGGGGGGGGCAGTGGTTGGAGGGGAAGAGGATGGTGGGGCGGGGCACAGGGGCGGGGGTTCACTTAGAGGGCTGTGCCACTGCCAGGCCATGAAGCACGTGGCGGACGAGGTGAGGAGTGGAGGGGGGAGGAAAGGGTGGAGTTGTAGGGGTTAGCGGCAGAAAGTCACTTGTGCTTGGATGGGCTGTGCTGTTGCAGCAGGGCGGAGGGGTGTGGTGTGTGCTGCCAGGGGCTGTGCTGCCAGGGGCTGTGCTGCCAGGAGCTGTGCTGCCAGGAGCTGTGCTGGCAGGAGCTGTGCTGCCAGGAGCTGTGCTGGCAGGGGCTGTGCTGGCAGGAGCTGTGCTGCCAGGAGCTGTGCTGGCAGGAGCTGTGCTGGCAGGGGCTGTGCTGGCAGGGGCTGTGCTGGCAGGGGCTGTGCTGGCAGGGGTGTGGCAGAGCAAGAAGCAAGAAGCAAGTGACATTCCCATGCAAAGCCGGCTGGCAGGGCATGGCACTATGGGCACGGCACAATGGGCATGGCACGATGGGCATGGCAACGCATGGCATATCGTCAACAACCCCCCATCCCCACCTTACCCCCCCTCCCCATAACGCCGTACCCCACAGTACGCGGTGTCATCGGTTCACGTGACATTCCCCTGCAAGGAAGACTGGCAGGTCATGGCACGGCACGGGTTTATGCAGCGCATCGGAATGCAGTACCACTGGCGCAACAGGGGCTATGGCAGGTCAGGCATTGTGTGTGGATGCCTGATGCCACTAATGCTCCCATGTGCATGGGACATCTTACTCCTGTCGTTTTGTGTTTTGCAGTTTCATCATCCCCTTTGTACCAACCCCTTGCACCCACCCACCCCCTTGCCCCTCTCCCTCCCTGTTACCCACCGACTCTTCCGCCAGCTTCAAAGATTTCCACATGGATGTGATGTGGAGCAAGACGCAAGACACCACGTGATCCCGATTCCACCCACCCCTAACCTCACAACGCCAGCTTCAAAGATGTCCGCATGGATGTGAAGCAGCCCAACCAGGCGCATGATGCTTTGTTACCCCTCTCCTGCCCTCCCCTCCCATCCCCCCCTCGTGCCCTCCCCTCCGCCCCGCCTCTCCTTGCCACTCCAGCTTCAACGATTTTCTGATGGATCTGAAGCAGTCAAAGCGCAAGACAATCCGGCAGGAGCGAAAGAAGGTGCTGGTTGGACCATGCGATGTCATGTTATATCAGCGCCCATCCCATCCCATCCCATCCCATCACATCCCATCACATCCCATCACATCCCATCACATCACATCACATCACATCACATTACATCACATCACATCACATCACATCACATCACATCACATCACATCACATCACATCACATCACATCACATCACATCACATCACATCACATCACATCACATCACACCACACCACACCACACCACACCACACCACACCACACCACACCACACCACACCACACCACACCACACCACACCACACCACACCACACCACACCACACCACACCACATCACATCACATCACATCACATCACATCACATCACATCACATCACATCACATCACATCACATCACATCACATCACATCACATCACACCCCACCACACCCCACCACACCCCATCACACCCCACCACACCCCATCACACCCCATCACACCCCATCACACCCCATCACATCGCGTCACATCACATCACATCGCATCACACCACACTTTTCAGTCGACTTACAGCAAGTAATACAATTTCACAGCTTTCCTTTTCACTGGCAACCGTTAACTTTTCTGCGTCAGCTCCTCCGTAGCTCAATCCCAATGACGCTTTCTCCATCTATTTTGCTTCTTTGTACCTTACCCTCTACCTTTACCCTACGCGTTCTCCCTCTGCTGCCCCCTTCCCCCCTTCTCACTCCAGGTAGCAGCGCAAGGCTTGAAGCTGCTGCGGCTGAGGGGAGATGATATCAAGGTAATGGGAGATAATTTTCAGGTGATGGGAGATGACATTAAAACCTGAAAATCTGGGCCGACCATTTTCATACGCTGCCCAAATGGCTCATATGGACTGCGTATGAACCTCGAGCCTCCACTTCTACGAAACTCGAGGAAAATTGCGAGGCTTTTTCGTTTCGCAAATTGGAAAGTGGTTCTGGTCCGCTAGATCTACCAACAGACGTTTTGACGGTTGCGATTCTCTTCTTAATGAGGCGTGGTGCACAAGGGGAGCAAGTTGGCTTGCTGGCCATCGGATGCAAATTTGGAAAATTGGACGGCTGAAAATCGGACTGCACATGAAGTTTCAATTCTTGTGCACTGAACTTGAAAGTGACCCCCTGAGTGGTGAGAGCCAGGCTAAACCCACGAAAGTGAGGGTTCCAAACGCTCTGCGTTTGAAAGGCTGCACCTTGCAACGGGTTTTACAGTGATGGGAGATGATTGCAAGGTAATGGGATATGATTGCAAGGTAATGGGAGATGATTGCAAGGTAATGGGAGATGATTGCAAGGTAATGGGAGATGATTGCAAGGTAATGGGAGATGATTGCAAGGTAATGGGAGATGATTGCAAGGTAATGGGAGATGATTGCAAGGTAATGGGAGATGATTGCAAGGTAATGGGAGATGATTGCAAGGTAATGGGATATGATTGCAAGGTAATGGGGGATGATTGCAAGGTAATGGGGGATGATTGCAAGGTAATGGGAGATGATTGCAAGGTAATGGGAGATGATTGCAAGGTAATGGGAGCTGGCATGAAGGTGAGACAATTCACGCCGTTAGGTGTGCCTGCTAGGGTTACCAAGTTTACATTTCCCACGGAGGATGTGTGGGCATTGAGGCCAGGGGACATGGGTAAGTGAAGTTTAAGATACATGTCAAACAATGGAGGTTTGGGGAGACTTCCCAACGACTGCAACGACTTCCTCTCTACCTCCTCCCTCTCTTCAGGCGTCCCAAAACAATAACACCTTCCACCCTCCTCTCCCACTCTCCTCTCTCACCTTCCTCTCTTACCCTCTCCTCTCTCACGTATTCCTCTCTATCCATCGCCTTGCCTCACGTTGGCTGGTCTCTTCGCTTGAGCCTCACCACTGGGACAGCTGCTTCCGCTCCTACTGCAACACCTTCCACCCTCCTCTCTCCCCCTCCTCTTTTCTCTCTCATAAGCCTCTCTCACTTTCCTTTCTCACTCTTCTTTCCCACCCTCCTCTCCCACTTTGTCTCTAACCTTGCAGACCAACCATCGGGGCAGCTTCTCCGTCTACCCTCCTCTCTTATAATTCTTTCGCCCTTTCCCCTCTCACCTCGGGTTGCCCTTCTCTTGCAGGCTCACCACTGGGACAGCTTCTTCCGCTTCTACTGCAACACCACAAACAGAAAGTGAGAAATTATTACATTCTGAGGTGCTAAAGCGAGTGATCTCGACAAGCAGTCATGCAACCACGCGTCTGCCAGGGGAGGCGTCATGAATGGCGATCTACTGCATCACATTACGCCACATTAGAAAGCCAGTTCTTCCACCTGCTTGGGGAGAGGTCGGGGGATCAAGTCCTGCTGGTGGCAGCAGAGGACGGGACCGGGCGCATGGTTGGGGGTGTAGTGTAGGGCCGTCGTGACTCACAGTTTCGTCCCCGTTCATCTCCTTGCGTCGATCCTCTATCCCCATCGCCCCATCAGGTGGGGCCAGACGTACCTCACTCGCGAGTTCTTCCGCCTGCAGGGGGCGTGGCTGGGCGACCAGGTCGGCTGGTGGCAGCAGAGGACGGGGCAGGGCGCGTTTGCTTCCACACCCTATCCACCATATTTCTACTCCTATCAAACCCACCCCCCCCCCCCCCCCATCACCAGGTGGGGCCAGACCTACCTCACTCGCGAGTTCTTCCACCTGCTGGGGGAGAGGTTGGGGGATCAAGTCCTGCTGGTGGCAGCAGAGGACGGGACGGGGCGCATGGTGGGGGGGGCGCTCAACCTGGTGGGGGGGGAGGCGGTGTTTGGCCGCAACTGGGGCGCTCTTCCAGGAACGCACTACCCGTTCTTGCACTTTGAGGCGTGCTACTACCAGGTGAGTGATAGCACGAGAAGAGTGATAGCACCAGTTGAGAGTGTAGCACTCGCTCACCTCATCCATGCTCCCCCTGCCCTTGCTCTCTCCCTCCGCCCTTGCAACAGGCAGCCATTGAAACAGGGTTGGCACGAGTGGGGGCAGGAGCGCAGGGGGGGGAACAAATGGTTCTCCCCTTTCCCTCCCCCACCAACCCCCACCTTTTCCACTTCTCCCCCTCCCTTTCCCGTTTTCAGGCAATAGAAGCAGCCATTGAAGCAGGGCTAGCTCGAGTGGAGGCAGGAGCGCAGGGGGAGCACAAATTACCACGGGGTTACTTGCCCACGGCCACCTACAGTGCGCACCACATCCCGGACCCGGCGTTCAGATCGGCTATTGCTGGGTTTCTGGAGCGGGAGACAGTACAGGTAGGTTCAAACACCATGTGCACTATGGTGGTTGCGTTAAGATTTGCTGGTGGTCGAAATTGCATTTCTTCTCGATTTCTGCATCGTGCATGTCAGTCAGTGTAATCCCTGGTCGCGCAATACGGCCCTTGCCATTCTAGCTTGGTCCGCTTTTATATCTTATACCCCCTTCCCGCATCCATACCCCACCCGTTGTGCCAGGTCCAATATGCGCTTTCGGTGATCGACCAAGAGGCAAACCCCTTCAAGAAACAGCCTGTTGTAGACGCTAACATCATGTAATATAATGTTGGTGAAAGCTACCATGTGATAAGGCCACGCAGAAAACAAATTTCATTATCATGTGCTTTTCCATCTACTGCATTGTGCGATTGTTGTCTGCTGAATGCTCAAAATGGTTGTACATATTAGGACGTGTTCCTAAGGCACGCGATGTCAGGCCACTTCGTGTCACTTGAGGTTTTGCCCGTAAAATTTGCCTGTGAATTACAGTTTGACACGAAGTAGCGTGACTTGGTGTCGTGTAGGAACAGGCCCTTAACTTCTAAAAATACATGTCAACACAGGAAGTATATGTAATACTGTAACTGCTGAGGGTATGTATCAAGTAGGCTGAAATGTAATACCGAAGTTATCGCGCTTCGTCATTTGAGGAATTGAGGGACCCCGATTTTCAGCGCATACTTCGATCAAAGCATGGGCGCGTCCCACCCATTCGTTTACAGTTCACATAGTACGGTTAAGTATGGTGCGTCATGTTCCAAAGCGGTTGAGGGCAAGAACCCTTCCCCACCGCGAGGAACCCTATTGCATCTCACTAAACGAACAATAAGCGTACAAGTGAGACATGCCCTTCCTGGGAAGAACGGTCTAGGATGAAATACGAATTTCAAGAATTTCAGCAGCTACGCTTTTTTCCTGGGACCTGGATAAGCCGTACCTCTGGATCGCCGTCATGTTCAAGAAGCCTAGCGAGGTTTGAGGAAAGCAGCGGCTATCAGGAGCCGACAGAAAAAAGCTTTGCCGAATCCTTGGAGAAAAGTTCCCCGGTGCATCTGATGACCAACTCTCGCTGCCGTCCTGCCGCGCAAGGTGTCGCCCGCATAGGCTTCGACAAGCAAACCTCGTACTGTAGCAACTTTTGCCGATTTGGATCCTTGTCCGTCTTCCCCGCATCTCTTACAATTCGATTCGTTCTCTTGATCCACTGATTCTGCTATCCGAATCTCCGTCGTTTGTTCATTTCAATTTTGGTCCAGGCTGACGTGGCGGTGACGCGGCTGGTGAATCGCGTGCTGGTGTACGGCTTCGAGAACGGGCTGCCCATGCTCTTCGACTGCGACGGCCGGGGCACCGAGATCTACCCCACTGGTAACCACACAGAGATCTACCCTACTGGTAACCACACGGAGATCTACCCCACTGATAACCCCACTGAGATCTACCCCACTGGTAACCACACGGAGATCTACCCCACTGGTAACCACACAGAGATCTACCCCACTGGTAACCACACGGAGATCTACCCCACTGGTAACCACACAGAGATCTACCCCTTTGGTAACCACACAGAGATCTAACCCACTGGTAACCACACAGAGATCTACCCCACTGGTAACCACACAGAGATCTACCCCACTATAGTAACCACAGAGAGATCTATCCTACTGGTAACCACACAGAGAACTACCCCACTGGTAACCACACAGAGATCCCTGTAACATGACGGGATTTGCCATGCATGTGCCCTAGACATGCATGGGAATTTCTGATCGGGACAAGATAAGAATGGATCGCTCTATCCGAACTACCGACACTTGCTAGACGAGAGTAGTCCCTCCTGTCTCTGTTGAAAACATAGGTCCATGCCAAGATGCTATGCTTGATTAGCACGTGACTACTCCCCCGAGTTGATATCCTTTTCTTCTTTGTTTATTTATCTCTATCTCCCTCTCTCTCTCTCTCTCTCTCTCTCTCTCTCTCTCTCTCTCTCTCTCTCTCTCTCTCTCTCTCTCTCTCTCGCTCTCTCTCTCTCTCTCTATCCTGTATGGATCATATTCTTCCTGATCTCGTTCTGTTCTCAGATCCAGTTCTTGAATCTCGTCATCGATCTTATCCTATCCTACTAGGATAGTATCCTTTCTACTCTAACCTCTTCTCGGAAGTAATCCCCAGCCTACTAGTGAGCGACCTCTCTTTCCCTGCACCGCTCTGCTCTGCCCCTACGGCGCAGCCGCGGGCCGGTCTGGCCAGCCTTGCCGAGCATGGCGCAGCCGTGCCGAGCATGGCGGCGCCGTACCGTTTCACTACCCCACTGATAACCACACACAGATCTACCCCACTGGTAACCACACACAGATCTACCCCACTGGTAACCACACATAGATCTACCCCACTGGTAACCACACACAGATATACCCCACTGATAACCACACACAGATCTACCCCACTGTTAACCATGCATAGATATGCAACCACACAGGCACGTGTGTTGTAACACTTGGACACGCATGTGGTAACCACTAGTGCACGCATGCGATAACCAGACTATCATGCATGTGGTAACACACCAGCACCCATGTGGTAACCTCATGCTATAAGTCTCCCACAACCACCCTCCGTTTTTCCAAAACTATCCCCCTTCCTTCCCCCCATCGCCCCCCTTTGAGGGAGAGATTGCTTTACAACCCCATTTTCTCCCAATCCGCCCCTTCTTGTAGACACTCATAAGGTCGCAGTTTGTGGTTCCCTTTTTTTTCATGGGTTTGGGTCACCTTTTAGAGTCAACTTGGGCCTTCTACGTGCTCAACATCCCCAAACCCCTGTCGCCAGCGACATTTGCTCTTAAGCTGGGTGATTCCGTCCCCCACTCGAAATTGTTGCTCAAGGGAAGTGGCGGTAGGATTTTCCAATACGTGCTGTCAACTTGAGAAACTCAGGTTCAGTTCAGTTGAACGGACAAACACTTAAATCCCGAGTCCCAAATTGCGTGTCGCGTGGTTCAAGCTTTAGAAAGATTAAATCTGACGATTTTGAGGCGTTTTTTCACGAAACTGGGGTTATACACACCGCGAAGGCACCTGATTGGTCAAAATCTTGGCTGAGAGGTTTGCATGGTTTGGCCTGAGGGGTCATTGCAATTTGGGACTTCTGCATCCCAACCCAACCAGTGCCCCTGGGCTTGGCTGACTAAGCGTAACGAAATACACTCGCGGCAGGTTTGCCTAAATCAACAATTTCGTCACTCACAAAATATCTAACTGTAGCATGTCATGTTTCTAAAGCATGAACGTTTTGGGCCGCAGACTTTAATGGATACGTCCTTCTCTCATCCCTTAATGAGGTGAGTTGGTTTTTGAGAATTCTCGAAAACCAATTCACGTTGAGGTCAGCTGAATGGACAAACACTGAATGGAACGTCCTTCTCTTATCCCTAATGAGGTAATTGGGATTTTGAGCATTCTCGAAAACCAACTCACGTTGAGGTCAGCTGAATGGACAAACACTTAAGCGAGGATCTCGAAACCACCCGAACTAAAAAAATTAGGTTTTTATCCTGGGGCATTTTGGCTGGGGACCAAAACCTTAGGTTTTGAGTTCAGGGGGTTTCGAGATCCTCGCAATAATGGATACGTCCGTTTCTCATCCCTTAATGAGGTAAGCTGGTTTTTGAGAATTCTCGAAAACCAATTCATGTTGAGGTCAGCTGAATGGACACATGGATACGTGCTTCCCTCGTCCCTTAATGCTCACCCGTAATCCCCAAACTCCACCCGCAAACCACGAATTTCTAAACCCTCGAACCCCAATGTTTGCGCAATGGCGGGTGCCTGGGCTGCTGCCATCGTTCCTGATCAAAGGGAGCGAGGTGTCCCGCTACGTGCTGTCAGGGGCTGATCTCATGGCGCCAGGCGTGCAGGTGGGAAGCAACTGGTGCAGGCACGCAGGCAGGCAAGCAGGCAGGCAGGCAGGCAGGCTGTTGGGTGGTTGTGTGAGCCCCCGCAAGCAGCCATTCCTGCTCAAGGGGGGTGAGGAGTCCTGCTACGTGCTGTCAGGGGCTGACCTCATGGCCCCAGGCGTGCAGGTGGGGAGCAACTAGTGCATGCAGGGGCTGTTGGTTAGTTGTGTGAGCCGCCACAAGCAGCCATTCCCGATCTTTGCCCTATCATCCTGCTTAGATAGGGCAGCCATTCCGCATCATCGCAAATGTAAGCATCTGAACACCTTGGTCTCCCTCCGCAGGGTGGCAACGTGTTTAACCATTCAATGCTTGAACCCCCCACAGTGTCTCGCGCCCTGCGGAAACAGTGCATTGTTTCCAATGCGTATCAATATCCCGAGAAGAAACAGCGCTTGGGATGTGGGATGCTCAGAGTTTCTCTTGAGCAAAATCAACAGTCTTTGCCAGGTTCAGAGTCTCCGACCTCCCCTGCCTACCAGGTGCGGAGTATTTATTTTAGGCGCCTCAAAAATAGGTCCCCCCACCTCTCCGCCCTCCCCTACCTGCCAGGTGCCTGCAGCAGGCCTGCCAGAGTTCCGTCCAGGGGAGGTGTGGTCCGTGAAGGTTCCAGGAAACTCATGCCCCATCGCTGAATGTACACTCTCTCTTTTCAGTAAGTTGGTAATGCTGGCGCTTCACGTGCTCTGCACCCTGCAGCCATGCCCTATCTTTGCACCCTGCAGCCATGCCTTGTGTGTGTGTGTGTGTGTGTGTGTGTGTGTGTGTGTGTGTGTGTGTGTGTGTGTGTGTGTGTGTGTAAGAGAGTGTGTATGTGTGCGTGTGTGATGCATGAGCGTGTGCGTGTGTGCGTGTGTGCGTGTGCGTGTGTGCATGTGTGCGTGTGTGCGTGTGCATGTGTGTGTGTGTGTGCGTGTGTGCGTGTGCGTGTGCGTGTGTGCATGTGTGCGTGTCTGTGTGTTGTGTTTTGTGTGTTGTGTGTGCATGTGTGCATGTGTGCATGTGCGTGTGTGCGTGTGCGGATGTGTGCGTGTCTGTGTGTTGTGTGTTGTGTGTTGTGTGTGCATGTGTGCATGTGCGTGTGTGCGTGTGCGTGTGCATGTGTGCGTGTCTGTGTGTTGTGTGTTGTGTGTTGTGTGTGCATGTGTGCGTAAGTTGTGCGTGTCTATGTGTTGTGTGTGCGTGAGTGCGTGAGTGTGTACACATTCTCTCGCGCACACCAGGTAGGCATGACCACGGTGGGGACTGCAGAGGTCATTGGAGCAAGCATGCACGGAAAGCTCCTCTAAATAACCCACTACTACCTCGACTCGCTGTGGTACAACTCTTAACTCGACTCTCTACTTTGAACTCACCCAATAATCATAATCATGAGATAACTATTACAATCAGAAAACTGTTTGCATATAGCTCGGATTGTTGTTTTGCATACAAAGCAACAGGCCACAGCTCGCATCGCTCAGCAGCATCCATTCACCCAGGTGGCTCCCACACTGGCCAGTCTTGTTACCCAAGGCTTGGCAGCCATGTGTTTCTGCAGGCGCGTCATGCTTGCTCAACAGATCTCCCTCATCGCTCCATACCCATCCCGCTACTCCCGTCCTCCTACTCTCCCCCCCTCCCGCTAATTGTATTGCGCTCAGGGAGACGGCAGAGGGCTCTTATGTCCCGAACAAGGGGTTCCTACCAGACCTGGTCCTGCCAGACCCTGATGCTCCTGCGTGTCTTGGTGCTCCTCCTGATGTGGGATCTGAGCCGTTGGATTGTACACCTGGCATGGCGCCTGGATTTGCGTCCGATGGTGCCACTGCTGCTGCTGGCCTTCCTGATGTTCCTGAAGCCTACGGCAATTATAGCGGTGCTCCTGCTGTTGTTGCGCTTGGAGGACACGGGGAGCGCGTGGAGGGGGAGCGAGTGGAGGGGGAGCGAGTGGAGGGGGAGAGAGGACGGAGTGGGGGTGAGAGAGGGGAGGCCTCAGCGTCTGGAGAGCAGGCAGCAGCAGTATCAACAGCATCCACAGCAGCAGCAGCAGCAGCAGCAGCAGCAGCAGCAGCAGCAGCAGCAGCAGCAGCAGCAGCAGCAGCAGCAGCAGCAGCAGCAGCTTCAGTAGCAGCAGCAGCATCAGAAGCAGCGTCAGCAGCAGAAGCAGTATCAGCAATAGCATCAGCAACAACAGCAGCAGCAGCACCGGCAGCACCAGTAGCAACAGCAGTAACAGCAGCAATATCAGCAGCTGCAGCAGCAGTATCAGCAGCAGCAGCAGCAGCAGCAGCAGCAGCAGCAGTAGCAGCAGCAGCAGCAGCAGCAGCAGCAGCAGCAGCAGCAGCAGCAGCAGCAGCAGCAGCAGCAGCAGCAGCAGCAGCAGCAGCAGCAGCAGCAGCAGCAGCAGCAGCAGCAGCAGCAGCAGCAGCAGCAGCAGCAGCAGCAGAACCAACACCATCCGCAGCAGAAGCAACAGCAGCAGCAGCAGCAGCACCACCACCACCAGCAACAGCAACAGCAACAGCACCAGCAGCACCAGCAGCAAGAGCAGCACCAGCAGCACCAGCAGCATCAGAAACAGCACCAGCACCAGCACCAGCACCATCACCTGCAGCATCACCAGCAGCACCAGCAGCACCAGCAGCAGCAGCAGCAGCATCAGCAGTACCAGCAGGAGCTGCGTTATCATCACTGCAGCTGGCAGAAGGACGGCAGCAGCTGGCTTTGCATCGCGCTGCAGCCACTGCTCCCGCCGCTCTCGCCACTGCGCCTGCTGCTGCTTCTCCATCTGCTGCTTCTGCTATTGATGGTGGTGGCGGAGTTTGCGACATCAAGGCAGATTCAACGGCAGCAGCACCGCCACCAGCAACACCAGCACAGATGGATGAGTTGTTGGAGCACTGCCTGCTGCAGGCCCTCTCCGTGTCAGTCAAGCCCCACCACCTGCCACTGCCTGCCAGCTCCCTCTGGTAAGCTGCCTCTCGGGTGACAGGTGGTGAGCTGCGCTCAGGGTTTGGGTGGTTGTCTGCCCTCGCTGTCAGCGTTTCAGCCCGCCAGTCTGCCGCAGGCCCTCTCTGTCTAGGTCAAGCCCCGCCACGTGCCAGTGCCTGCCAGCTCCCTCTGGTAAGCTGCTTTTTGGGTGGTCTCCTGCAGGCCCTCTCTCTCAGCGTTTCACCATGCTTGTCTGCTGCAGGGACGCCACCTTCCCTCTGGCTGCCTGCTAGCTTCCTCTGGTGAGCTTTGTTTTTGAGGTGCCTAAAAAATAGACTCCTCACGCATTGTTTCACGTACGTCTTTCACGTGAGGTGCCTCATCTCAGGTGCCTCTGCGGTTTGTCCCATGTTCCTCTGTGGTTTGTCTCGGTGCATCAGGTGGTAAGCTGCATCTGATTCAAAACGGGACACTAGGTTCGTTTACATAAAATTGCACATTGCCTTCCAAGATGTCTGGTCCTTCCTGTCTGAAATTGCCCCATGTGTACTTGTTGCACGTATACTTGGGGCTTTTACGTGCCTCAAAATTCGGGTTCCTCCTATCTCAAATGTCCCCCATGCATTGCTCGTACAATCCGGGGTTGCATGTCCATCCATTCATGAACTGCCACGTGTCTTACTGGATTCTTTCACGTAGGTCCAATCACGTGCTGCCATGTCGCCCGCCCGGCACAACAGTGGACATAAAGCGGTGGTCACATAAGAAGCTCTCCAAGTGGCTGAATGCCAAGGCTGATGATGAACTGGTGAGTGTGTGTGAGGGTGAGGGTGAGGGTGTATGGGTGAGGGTGAGGGTGTATGGGTGAGGGTGTGTGTGTGTGGGTGTGAGGGTGAGGGTGTGTCTGTGAGGGTGTATGGGCGAGGGTGTGTGTGTGAGGGTGAGGGTGTGTCTGTGAGGGTGTATGTGTGAGGGTGTATGTGTGAGGGCGAGTGAATGATGGAATGGGGGAATGAGCAATGGCATGCAGTCATTAACCACTCATAGCATGCGCCTACCCCTTCTGTGTCACCCGTTGTCATAAAAATGGGTAGTTCTTCGGCAGGGAGGACAAGCACCGCAAGGAGTTCATGCTCTCAGCCATCAACCACCCATGGCACTCAGTACACCCAATTTTTGTGCCCTGCCCATCACACCCCACCCAACCCCATCCATAATGCCAACTACATATCAGGGAAGGAGGACAAGCACCGCAGGGAGTTCATTCTCTCAGCCATCAACCACCCATGGCACTCATTGCACCCATTCATCCTGCCCCCACCCATCCCTCCCCGTCTCTCCTCACCATCACATCCCACCCCTCAGATCTCAGGCAAGGAGGAAAAGCACCGCGAGGAGTACATTCTCTCAACCATCAACTACTGCCACCAGGACCTCCTCGCCTTCATACCAGACAAGCGTAAGCCAGCCAAACCATCCCCGCCCCGGCTGCTGCTACCCATCTCACCCCCTCCGCTACTCCAGGTGGGCAGAAGTGCGCCTTTTCTTCCACACTCTTGTCCATCCCTTGCTCTTCCTCTTGCTCCACCTACTCTCGTCCACGATTGACCCTCTGACTCCTCCGGTTGCTTTCCTTCCTCGCCTTCCTCGTTTCAGAGATATGCATATTTCCTGCTTTACCCTTCAAACCCGTAACTGGCTGATTACATTTCATTGCTGTACCAGTACCTCAGTTAGAGCAGCTGCTGATCTATTGAGCTATGCCCACCTTAACAAAAGGTAAGTTTGATGCCTCTCCCTTGCTTTCGTTCAAATCCCAGTGCTTGATGTGAGAAAATGGGAACTTAGAAAAGTTGATTAGAGGGAAAGCACAAGGGTTTACATAGGAATGTGAGGAAAGGGAGGAAGGGAGGGTTGGTTGGGAGTTGGCCAAGATTATTGGCCCCCACCAATAATTCTGGTGGGAATGATTGGGGATCCCAAATAGTTGTCGACCCAACCAAATTGGGAACCGAACCGAGTTGGGAACCCAACATTCTATTATGGTTATTCCACCCTAATAGTTGTGGAGTGCGTAACTCTACTCAAGACTAACAAATTGATGTAGACTAGTGAATATAGTAGGATATTCTAACACAACCCCTTAGTCTGCATAGGGAGAGAAGTCTTGAGGCGGTGAATGGAAGCAATTCCTGAATCAGGACGGCGCGAAGGAGGAGGCGGGTGGCACGTGGTGAGTTCGCCCGAGGGAGGTGCTGCTGAGGGCAGCGCGTGGTGCTGTCGCCGGAGGAGGACGCGGGCGGCGTATGAAGCTGCCGATGGAGGAGGACGCGGGCGGCGCATGAGGCTGCCGCTGGAGGAAGACGCGGGGGGCACATGAAGCAACGCACGCGCTGCCCGCAGCAGCAGCAGCACCTCCTCCGACGACAGCCGCACGTGCCGCCTGCAGCAGCAGCACCAGCACCTACTCCTCCTGTGGCAGCAGCATGCGCCGCCCGCAGCAGCGTCAGCATCTCCTCCTCCGGCGGCAGCAGCACGCGCCACCCGCAGCAGCAGCAGCATCTCCTCCTCCGGTGGCAGCAGCACGCCCCGCCCGCAACAGCAGCACATCCTCCTCCGGCGGCAGCCGCACGTGCCGCCCGCAGCAGCAACAGCACCACCACCTCCTCCGGCGGCAGCAGCACACGCCGCCCGCGTCCTTCTCTGGCGGCAGCTTCATGCGTCGCTCGCGCCCTCCCCCGGCGGCAGCTTCATGCGCCGCCCGCGCCCTCCTCCGACGGCAGCTTCATGCGCTGCCCGGGTCCTCCTCCGGCGGCAGCTTCATGCGGCTCCCGGGTCCTCTTCTGACGGCAGCTTCATGCGCCACCCGCGTCCTCCTCCGGCGGCAGCTTCATGCGCCGCGCGCGTCCTCTTCCGACGGCAGCTTCATGCGCAGCCTGTGTCCTCCGCTGGAGGAGGACGTGCTGCTGCTGCTGCGGGCGGAGCGTACGGCTGCCGCCGGAGCAGGAGGTGCTATTGTTGCGGGCGGGCTCGTGCTGGCGCCGGAGGAGGAGGTGCTGTTGCTGCTGCTGCTGCTGCAGGCGGCGCATGCGGCTGCCGCCAGAGGAGGTGCTGCTGCTGCTGCGGGCAACGCGTGCGGCTGCCGCCGGAGGAGGAGGTGCTGCTGCTGCTGCTACGGGCGGCGCGTGCGGCTGCCGTCAGAGGAGGAGAGGTGCTGCTGCTGTTCCGGGTGGCGCATGCTGCTGCCGCTGGAGGAGATGCTGACGCTGCTGTGGGCGGGGCATGGTGCTGCCGCCGGAGGAGGAGGAGGTGCTGCTGCTGCGGGCGGAGCGTACGGCTGCCTCCGAAGGAGGAGGTGCTGCTGCTGCGGGCGGCGCGTGCGGCTGCCACCGGAGGAGGTGCTGCTGCTGCTGCGGGCGGCGCGTGCGGCTGCCGCCGGAAGAGGAGGTGCTGCTGCTGCTGCTGCTACGGGCGGCGCGTGCTGTTGCCGTCGGAGGAGGAGAGGTGCTGCTGCTGTTGTGGGTGGCGTGTGCTGCTGCCGCCGGAGGAGGAGATGCTGCCGCTACTGTGAGCAGCGCGTGCTGCTGCCGTCGGAGGAGGAGGTGCTGGTGCTGCTGTTGCGGGCGGCACGTGCGGCTTCCGCCGGAGGAGGTGCTGCTGCTGCTGCGGGCGGTGGGTGCGGCTGCCGCCGGAGGAGAGGGGAAGGACGGGCGGAATGCGGTTTAAAGAGCCACTGAGGGGAGGGGAGAGGGGGAGGACGAGCGGGAGGGGAGCTAGGAGCCGTTGAGGGGAGGGGAGAGGGAGAGGATGGGCGGAAGGTGGGCTGGGAGCCGTTGTGGGGAGGGGAGAGGGGGAGGATGGGCGGGAGGCAGTCTGAAGAGCCACGGAGGGGAGGAGAGAGGGGGAGGAGGGGCGGAATGCGGGCTGGGAGCTGTTGAGGTGAGGGGAGAGGGGGAGGATGGGCAGGAGGCGGTCTGAAGAGCCACGGAGGGGAGGGGAGAGGGGGAGGACGGGCGGGAGGGGGGCTAGGAGTTGTTGAGGGGAGAAGAGAGGGGGAGGACGGGCGGAAAGCGGTCTCAAGTGCCACTGAGGGGAGGGGAGAGGGGGAGGACTGGTGGGAGTGGGGCTAGGAGCCGTTGTGGAAAGGGGAGAGGGAGAGGACGGGTGGAAGGCCGGCTGGGAGCAGTTGAGGGGAGGGGAGAGGGGGAGGACGGGCGGAAGGTGGGCTGGGAGCTGTTGAGGGGAGGGGAGAGGGGGAGGACGGGCGGGAGGCGGGCTAGGAGCCGTTGAGGAGAGAGGAGAGGGGGAGGAGGCGAAATGCGGCGAAATGCGGCCGGCAAAATGCGGCGAAATGCCGCGACGAAATGCGGCGGAATGCCGCGACGAAATGCAGCGGTATGCCGTGACGAAATGCGGCGAAATGTCGTGACGAAATGCGGCGAAAGGAGAGCTCTTAAGGGTGCGGAGGGAGGGCGCTTAAGGGCATGGAGGGAGGGCACTTTAGGGCGTGGGGGGAGGGCGCTAAAGAGCGCGGAGGGATGGCGCGTAAGGGCGCGGCTGTAGGGTGCTTAAGGGCGCGGAGAGAGTTCAAAGGCTAAGGATCGAGTAGAGGAGAGGCGTGAGCCATAAGCTCTGATACCATGTGAGAAAAGCTGAAGTTAGAAAAGTTGATTAGAGGGAAAGCACAAGGATTTACATAGGAATGTGAGGAAAGGGAGGAAGGGAGAGTTGTTTGGGAGTTGGCCAAGATTATTGGCCCCCACCAATAATTCTGGTTGGGATTATTGGTGGTCCAATAATTATAGTGGGAATTATTGAGGGTCCCAAATAGTTGTGGACCCAACCAAATTGGGAACCGAACCTCAAATCATGGTTATTACACCATAATAGTAGTGGAGTGCATAACTCTACTCAAGACTAACAAATCTATGTAGACTAGTGAATGTAGTAGGATATTCTAACACTTGATGCATTCAAAGAGGGGCAGCACGAGGTGCTGATTTATGATCCCTGCTTTTCCGTCTCCCTTCCACCCTTGTCTTAAAACCCCACAGCATAATAGCAGAGGGGGGTCCCTCTTGATGGTTGAGTGGGTGCAAAAAAACTAAGTCCCGAGCTGGCGAGAAATCGAATGTCACAGTGCCCTGAACTTTGTAACTCTCCAAAAACAAAAATTTGGATTGCCCAAATGCTATTGGTTGCGCGAAAGTACGAGCCAATGTGGGCCCGACGCGAAATTCATTTGACAGCCCGGCGTTTCGTGCAGTCCCCTTGCGGCATTTGTCGCACGCGACGTGGGCCTCGCTGATTTCTGCAGGGGGGGTTGAAGAGGGACCTCCCCTCTGTAATTCTTGTTTTTCGCGGGCTCGCTGGGCGAAAATCAAGTGGGGCCCAATTCGACGTGGCAAAATCACGTGCCACGTCGTGCAGCCCATGACGCGTTCCGCTGTACGAAATTCGCAAGGCTGAAATATGCCAACTGGACGTGTTTTGAGTATCGAATTGTGCGGACTGCTGCCCAGCTCCTAATAAACTCCTCAACACAAAAGGGGCCTTGATCAAGGGGGGTCCCAACTTGATAACCCCTCTGCTACTTTGCCGTGGGGTTTAATTACAGGCAAGAAGGGGCAGCAAGAGGCGTTGGTTCGTGTTCCCAGATTTCCTTTCTCTCTTCCACATTGATCCATGCGTTTGATACAGGCAAGAAGGGGCAGCAGGAGGTGTTGATTCAGGGAGGGGTGTTGGATGAGTTGGCTTGGCTGCTGGTGGACGTGCATGGCATTCCCAAGACGCGTATAGAGGTCCTCGAAAAAGACTAGGAGGTGATGAGATAGTGCGTGGCAGTTATACTTCGGCTGATGTTGTTCTGCATTCTCAAGATGTACATAGAGGTGCGTCCGCAGTAAGACACGTAGTGGAAGATGTAACTTGGTGCTGCTGTGCATGCATGTCTTATTGACTAATGTTGGAAATGATAAAAGGAGGCATTTCAGGAGTATCGCGTAGCTGTAACAATACGCGAAGGATACAACATCGAGGATTACCGAGTCAAAGCCTGCTACAGCACCCGTGATGGTTGACGCAACTTGATGACACCTCGCAGAAGTTACGAAAGGGCAACGAAACGTGACCGTTGACCGTGCAACCCAGCGGTCAGAAGTACAAGAGTCAAGTCAGAACAACAGCAAGGACAAATAAGCGTCCCGGTTGTTGGAAACAAAAAATAGGAGAAGTAACCTGTTTCTGTAGTATCGAGACTTAAGCGATACTGTGGAGTGGTCAACTACGAGTACGGCGAGTCAAAGGAGGTTACACGTGGCAGTTGTGCATGTAATCAAAGTGCGTGGCAGTTACACTCATGGCAGCTGCACCTGGAGCATGCCCTCAGATTGGTTTTAGGGAGTCTGATTGCTCAGGGTCGCCCATGTGAGAGCCCATGTTTTTCAGGGTCAGATTTTGGGTGTGGCATGTTTTGTCAGGCTTATATTCTGGTAATTTATTTATTTATTTAATAAATAGTATGACTAATCAGGCCTGCATTTTTGTAGTTTCTGATTCTAATGTCGGATCGGACTTTACTGCGTACAATTCGACTCAGACGACGTGCGTGATTTTAGCGAAGGACTAGTCAACCCCCTTACACGTGCTCCATCTCGCCTCGGACTACTAGCGTGATTCTGGTAAGGACAAGTCACACCCCTCACACCTGCTCCTACTCGCCCCGAAATTGCGTGATTCTGGTCAAGGACCAGTCACGCCCCTCACACCTGCTCCAACTCGCCTCGAACTTGCGTGATTCTGGTCAAAGACCAGTCACGCCCCTCACACGTGCTCCAACTCGCCTCGAACTTGCGTGATTCTGGTCAAGGACCAAGCACGCCCCTCACACCTGCTCCAACTCGCCTTGAACTTGCGTGATTCTGGTCAAGGATCAGTCACGCCCCTCACACGTGCTCCAACTCGCTTTGAACTTGCGTGATTCTCGTCAAGGACCAGTCACGCCCCTCACATGTGCTCTAGCTTGCCTAGGCAGATAAGATTCAGTTTCAGGGCACATTTCGTGTAAGGCTGATTCGTCAGGCTTGCTAAAACAACAACATACTATTTTTTAGGCCTTAGAAAATGGGAACACACAATTTTCAGGTTTGATAAAAATCAAAACCTGAAAAATCAGGGTATGCCCTAAAAAACACCCTGATATACAGGCTTTCAGGCCGTTTTTTGCCTGACTTCAGAGGCCCTGACCTGGAGGTTGCGCGTGGAGGTTGCGTGGCAGCTCAGCTGCACAGTAACCGCTACTGTAAGGTATCGAGTCGCTATACGCTCGATAGCGCAACATCAACTGTAGTAATTGTTATGTATTATAGAATAACTATATATTCCTGTATGCTGTTTGTGTTAATCAATTCTCTTGTTCTTACCAAGCAGTGCAAGAGATTGATTAAGTCTTACACCATGCTTTCGCAAGTACAACATCTCTCTGGGGACATAGTCGTTGCAAAGATCCTATGGGCTTGTCTCAGCCCAACATGGTATACAAGCTAATCGAAGACTAGGTTCCCGCTAAGTTCAAGCATTCTCAGTACTTCTACAAGTTCACATACAGTGACAGAAACAATTGTCAGGATGTTTTGCATTAATGAGGGTTTTTGGGCTTTCTGACCACTATACATAAACTTTTAATGTCTTTCTGTGGTACACTTTGGGAGGGGCACATATTGGATGTGTTCACAACGCAAAAATCCATAATACTACACTGGATCGAACTTAGTTCCAAATGATATACAAAGAGTACATCCGGACAATTATTTCCTAGAACAAAGAGCAAACTTTTGAACAGCATTTTTATTACCTAGTTCAGTGAACCTTGGCCTTGATCACCACCTGCACCCTCCTAGGCATGTTATCTACGAGGTTAGTGCAAACCTTTGCAGGGATCTTTTCGCACTCTTCCTAGACTCACCCTTTTGCATAAGGGGGTGAACACTAGGAAAATCGCGAAGGATTTAGGTGTATGTAAGAGTATTGTGCACCATTTCTTATTGAATGTCATCTATGAGACTTGCCACTCTGAGGTGTGACTAAAGATGCCATTGGCCAATTGGTCCCGTCTTTTCATGGGTTGTCTTGGTCGTATTGATGTAGGGTAAACCCATGAACAGAGCGGCAAAAACTAGCGTATGCCCCATGAATCTGAGGAAAAAACGCAGCACAGTCGATTGTGCACCCTTGCACAATTAAAATCACGCCAGGATCCGCAGGTCTGGTCATAGTGCAGCTGTCAAAGAAGTCGCGACTGCTTGGGAAGAATATCCGGATTGAGGTCTGGTAAGGAAAAGGGTCACTCTAGCACAACACACTTATGCTCTCTAAGCCATTCCAAGTCATTTGTCCCGCCTAGGCTTGGAATGGCTCGGAGAGCATGAGTATGTAGCACTGGAGTGACCCTCTTCCTCACCAGACCTCAACGCGGATATTCTTCCCTACCAGTTAAGGCTTCTTCGACTGCTGCACGGTGACTAGACCCGTAGATTTTACCGTGATTCTAATAGTGAAAGGTTGCACAGACGACCGTGCTATGTTACCCTAAGTTTTGCGGCGGATCCGCTAGTTTTCACCGCTCTACTCGTAATTTTACAGCACAACGGTACGATGACGATGATACATGATAAGACGGAACAAATCGACTTGTGGCATCTTTTGCCACACCTCAGCGTGGCTAGTCTCAGAGATAACATTCAATCCAAAATCGTGCACAATACTCTTGCATACGCTCAAATCCTTCCCGATTTTCCTAGTGCTCACCCCCCTACGTAAAAGGGTGGGTCCAGGAAGAATGTGAGAAGATCCCTGCAAAGGTTTGCACTAACATCGTACATAACATGCCTAGGAGGGTGCGGGTGGTGATCAATGCCAAGGGTCGGTCGACTAGGTGCTAGAAATGCTATTTGGAAGGTTGCTATTTGTTTTGGGAAACAATTGTCGAGATGTACTCTTTGTATATCTTTTAGCACTAAGTTAGTGAGGTCCACTTCAGGATTACAAGATATGGCATCACAGAAGGAAGTGAGGTCCTCTACTGGATCTCCTTGCTCAACACCTACTATGCCCCCAATCTCCGGCCTACAAACTGAAGAGGTGCCTGCGCAAGAAACATTCCCGAGAGCATCTACTGAACAAGCGATCCCTCCGACCGGCTTCGACCCAAGTCTGATGGAGCGTTTCTTCTCTTTCATGTCAACATATGAGCAGCAGCAACCATCAGCACCTGCGCAGTCAATTAACAGCAACAACAACAGCAACAACAACAACAGCAACAACAACAGCAACAACAACAACAACAACAACAACAGCAACAACAACAACAACAACAACAACAACAACAACAACAACAACAACAACAACAACAACAACAACAACAACAACAACAACAACAACAACAACAACAACAACAACAACAACAACAACAACAACAACAACAACAACAACAACAACAACAACCGCAACAGCAACAGCAACAAAAACAACAACAACAACAACGACAACAACGACAACAACGACAACGACGACGACAACAACAACAACGACGACGACAACAACAACAACGACGACAACAACGACAACAACGACAACAACGACAACAACGACGACAACAGCAACAACGACAACAACAGCAACAACAACAACAACAGCAACAACAACAACAACAGCAACAACAACAACAACAGCAACAACAACAACAACGGCAACAACAACAACAACAGCAACAACAACAACAACAGCAACAACAACAACAACAGCAACAACAACAACAACGGCAACAACAACAACAACGGCAACAACAACAACAACGGCAACAACAACAACAACGCCAACAACAACAACAACGACAACAACGACAACAACGACAACAACCACAACAACGACAACAACAACAACAACGACGACAACCACAGCAACCACCACAACAACAACAACAACAACAACAACAACAACAACAACAACAACAACAACAACAACAACAACAACAACAACAACAACGTCAGAAGCATCAATACTGGAGTTGCTCCTATGAGCCTGGACAGCTCATCCTTTGTGCGCTGGAATCAACAACCTATCTACGCTCCTTATCAAGCTTCACGGGGATCCTTCATGTTTATGCCGAGTCGCCTTCCGGCTGCAGCACATGCACAGAGCACGACAGCGAACGATGCACTTCAGCTACAAGCTCAGTTTGAGAACGTCCTCAAGCTGCAAACATAATTTCCGTTCAGCGGCAAGGAATTCTATACCTGGTCCTTCGAATTCGAGCTCATGATGGAAGGAGCTCAAATCTTGGGATTCTTCGACAAAAAGCTGTCATTTCCAGACAATGGTATTACAAGCGACAAGGAGCAGTACACGTATTAATCGCTGATGGCGTACACCATTCTCTTGCGGAACCTCTCACCAACAGGACAACAGAACATCAAAACTTATCGTGGCTACGGAAACTCAGCGGGACTCGCGTAAAACCACTTGAAGAGCATGTATCCAGAAAATGACAACGTAATCCTGAGTCGTCTCTTGGCTCAGTTGACAACCGTCCAGATGCAGCACAGCGAGAAAGCCATGGCGTATATGAGTCGCTGCCGCAGTCTCCGCGATGAGCTCCTTCGCAGCGGCGGCAACATGTCGGAAGATACGTTTGTCACCATCGTCCTCGCCGGTCTCGGTCCTCAGTGGCGAACGACCCGCTCTCTTCTTCACGCTCACGGTCGCATCTCAGAGATGCATCTATGCACTGAACTTCACGCTGAACAACAGGACATGGACCTGTACGAAGAGCGGCAGAAGAAAAAGGCAGTACCCGAGATTGCGTTCTATGGGCATCGTCAACAAGGACCACAAGCAAGATGCTACGTACTGTCGTTCTATCATCTCTGCCGCATGTCAGGAGACTCACGAGTCAACTGCCCTCGTCAGAATCAACACCAGCAGCAAGTCCCACAATGCCAGAATCACCCTTCGGGAAATCAAGTTACTTCAACCCAAAAGCACCCGTCGCCCTCTGCGCCGCGACCTGCACAAGAGACAAGGAACATCGTCAGGTGCATGGCAAGAACCAACTCTTGCGTCACAGAATCCCCACCGACTTACGACCCGGGCGAAGTAGTTATGCCGCCTCGACGAGAGCAGCTGGAACCGAATCCGACTTACGCCGCCATCGCTCAAAGCGAGCCGTCCAGTCGAGATACGTGGTTCTTGGACAGCTGCTGCGGGCAGCACATGTGCTCTTCAAATCGCTTCGTTCAAAGCGAGCGGCAACTCAGCCGCAAAGTCGACATCACTGTCGCCAACAATCAACACCTGCGCACACGAAGGCAAGGATTTGCTCAGCTACAATCCCTGGAAACTAACGTGGTGCTACAAATATCAAAAGTACTCATCGCAGAAGGCTTGGGCTACAACTGACTGAGTGTCAGCCAGTTGATGGCAAAAGGGATTCACGGGAAGGACGGCCTCTACATCGGGAAAACCGTATTGAAGAACAGCGTCTTCGTCCTGGATTTTGTTCCCGATTGTGGCACCGCGGAAAGCGACGCCATCGTATCCTTCACTTCCTGGACTCACCCTCCATATCTTGATCCTGACTTTATTCTGGGTGGCTTCTGGCACTCGCACACCATCCTTGAGACAGAATGCACACGAACATTAGCACTCATGCAAGAATCGGAAATGGCAGAAGAAGAACAAGCAACTGCAGATATACCTACGCCGGCCGCCGGTCCGTCACCAGCACCGCCACCACCGCCAGCTGTCGACACTACACCAACCGCTGCTCAGCAGCTCACGCCGGTGCCACGCAGGGTCCACCAAAGCGCAGCCAACTTCGCCACCTTCTACTCAAACCCCGACCAATATCGGAGGGCTGCGGGACATCGTGCACATGAAGAAACATGGCATTAACAGCTTGGATACCCTGGCAACACAACCTAATACAACACGATTCGTGCGGGAGTCCTAGACAAGGACGCCCTTCTCCTACCTGATGGCCGCGAACTTTGACGACCCCCCGGCACGTGCTTCATCTGCCCTGAAGCGGACTTACCACATCAGCTGTTCCTGTCGCACCACAACCCCAGCGCTCCAGCCTATGCTCCGCTTGAGAAAGTATACAGCGATATACTTTACATACCGAGGGAAGAAGGGTGCATGGACCTGCACTACGTTATCACGTTCATCGACGCAGCAACTCGTTACGTCTGGCACATCAACTTACCAACCCGCGACCAAGCTCTTGACGCCTTCACAGCTTGGCTCCTGGTAGCAAAGAGAGAATCGGGGGTGAAGCTTAAGAGCTTTCAAACAGACGTGGCAGTGGAATACCAGTCACACCACTTCAAGCAGTACCTGGCAGAGCAGGGAACCAAGAGACTCATTTCGCTCCCCTACGCTCACCAACAGCAAGGTGTAGCAGAACGGATGAACAGGAAGCTGTAGACAACAATGAGAAAGCTGCTCTGAGGCATGTGCCTGCCCAGCTCGCAGTGGTCAGAGGCAATGGACCATGCCGTTATGCTCCATAACCTGCTGTCATCTTTCTCCCTGCTGAACAACGCATCACTGCACTGCTGTGGACAGGAAAACTGGGCAGCACAAAATTACTACACTGCATGAGCCGGACGATTCTCGCAGCGCACCAAGTGGGGACTGCACCTGGACATCGAAAAGAATTACAACGCATGGAAAATCCTCAACGTGAATGACAAGGAAACAGTGGCAACATGTGACGTGATTTTCTACGAACGACTCACCTTGCAGCATTACCTGGACAACATCGCAGCCGACCGGGACCCCACTGGTGGATTCAACGGCAGCCGAGCCTTTGCCTCGTCAGCAGAAGAAACTGACTGGGATGAGCAAAACGTTGACGGAGCTTCGGAAGCTGTCGGACCTCTCCTGTATAGCTCCGTTACTATCCCAATGGATGACGAGGATCCACGCAAAATTGCGAATGCTGAGGCATACTACAATTTTGCCAACAACAGTTATGTAACACCCCCGACCGTCGACACAAATGTTTCCGAGTGTAACGGGGCATGGATTCGTACCTAATCCAGAAGCAGGAGACGAAGCAGTCTTTCCCGAGGATCCGCTCTTGCCTCGCTTCACACCCAACGGCCTTCAAATTCTCGGCCTTGTCGCCGTCATCCACGGAGCTTTGACGCCACCTCCACTCGAGCCTAAGACCGTCATTAGGCTCTGGGGGGGAGCACAGGGAGAAATGGCGCGGAGCAATGGAAAGGGAGCTAAAGGCGCTTCATGAGCACAACACCTGGCAAATGGCCCCCATCGCAAAGGCCCGTGACAAAACAATCCTGTCAGGAAAATGGGTCTTCAGAGTGAAGACCAAAGCAAATGGCACAATCGAGCGCTTCAAAGCCTATTGGTTCGTTCGGAGCTTTGACCAGCACTACGGGTGTGACTTCATGGAAGCCTTTGCGCCCGTCAGTCGACAAACATCCCTGCAAATCTTGCTCACATGCATTGCCTGCCGCTACGCCAGATTGACGTGGCAAATGCATTCCTGTACGTGCCCATCCACGCAGAGATCTTCGTAGAGCAGCTGCACGGGTTCGTCGAAGACCCCACGCTCGTCTGCCAGCTTGTGAACTCCCTTTACGGGATTAAGTAGGCCCCACAGCTCTGGCAGCAGTATCTTCACGTGCGGCTCATCCATATCGGGTTCTTACAGCTGCTGCACAACCAGGATATGTACTGGCTCACACGAGAAGCCGCCTACGTATTGCTGATCGTCTACGTAGATGACCTGCTGTACGTAGGCTCGACCGCTGCCGTCACCGCCTGGTTTGAAGGGGAGCTACAGCAGGACCTCACACTCATGGTCTCCCCTTCCGTGAGCAAGTACCTTGGCTTGAACGTGCTGGACGCAGACGAGGCGAAAATCTGAGTGCCTCAAAGTACGTCGACGTCATCGCTAAGAGGTTCGACCTCACCCCGGCTGCGATCTCCACCCCGTACCGCTACACCGCGTCGAGTCACACGACGGACTCAACTGTACTCGCACCCACCTGACTACGTGACTACCAGTAGAAACTGGGTTGTCTCCTCTTCGCCGCTGTAACCTGTCGACCGGACCTATCCTACTCGGAAAGCCAACTCGCCACCTATCTCAAACGACCCGAGGCAGAGCACCTAGCCGAACTTAATCGCGCTCCACTATCTTGTCTCGACGCCAACGATCGGCCGAACTTATCACAAGACGAAGAACACATCGCCTAAGCTAATCGTCTACGTCGATGCTGATCACGCCGGCGACCCCGACAACAGGCGATCGCGAACTGGCTACGTCTACTGCCTAGAGCCCATCGGGCCTATCTCCTAGCAGTCGAGCAAGCAGGAGCTAATTGCTCTCTCCTCTACTGAAGCAGAGTATATAGCTCTTTGCACAGCCACCAAGGAAGGACTGTACCTTCGCGAGCTCATGGAAGAGGCCAAGCTCGCCGCGTTACCCAGTTTCTCCCTCTTCTGCGACAACCAATCTGCAATTCGAATTGCAAACAAGAATGGTTTCGCCAACCGCACGAAGCACATTGCACTGCGCTACTTTTTCATGAAATACGAAATCGAGAAGGGGAGAATCAAGCTGTCTTACTGCCCCACGTCTGAGATGGCAGCAGATTACTTGACCAAAAAGCTCGGGAAAGTCGAAGTTCGACTACTGCATGCTGCTAACAAAGCAGCGCCATGTCACTTGCCCCGACCACGTCGACACCCCAGAAATGAAGGGGAGTGTTGGAAACAAAAAATTGGAGAAGTAACTCGTTTCTGTAGTATCGAGACTTAAGCGAAATTGTGGAGTGGTCAACAACGAGTACGGCGAGTCAACGGAGGTTACACGCGGTAGTTGTGCGTGTAATCAAAGTGTGTGGCAACTTCACGCATGGCAGTTGCACCTGGAGGTTGCACGTGGAGGTTGTGTGGCAGCCCTACTGCACAGTGCAAGAGAATTGATTAACACAGTGCAAGAGGTTCATTAAGTCTCACACCATGCTTCCGCAAGTACAACATCTCTTTGGGGACTTAGTCTTTGCAAAGATCCTACGGGCTTATCTCAGCCCAACACCGGTATTACAATAGGGTGGTTACCCGAGTCACTCCTATTGAGTCATAAAGAGAATGTACCCCTCGAAGTGCATAAACAGTTAGACTCTTCATCTTGTCCTGTATTATTATATAAACATTGTATCCTTTTGCTATAATCAATCACTTATTCTCACATACCAGTACAAGGGTTCACTCAAGTCTTACGATGTGCTATCAAGCACTTTGTTACAAGGACTTAACCTTTTGTAAAGATCCTAGGGCTATTCTCAGCCAAACAACTAGATTACCAAGTGGCATGTCAACATATATATATATATATATATATATATTTTATCTATATGTGTGTAGGCTAGGTAGATGCACTACAGTTCCGGATCTTACTATAGAGAGGACAGCCCCCTTCTTGTACATCCCTCTCTTTTCTGGTGCCTCCCTTTTCTCTTGCCACTTTCTTCCTGCCTAGCTAAACCCTTCTCGTAATATGGTTTCAGAGCAGGTTGATTCTGCTAAGCCTACTCCTCATGCTTCTGCAGCGTACTCTCTCCCCTCCTCTCACTTTTGCGCCATCATGGCGGCCTCGTTGTGCTGCAATGGTGACCTCGATGCGCTGCCGTGGTGGCCTCAACGCGCTGCCGTGGCGGCCTCGTCGTGCTGCTGTGGCGGCCTCAATGTGCTGCTATGGCGGCTTCGACGCGCCAGCGCACAGACGGTTGCAGCCAGTGCACTGGTTTAGTGCCAGCCAGCATGCCCACATGCCAGCCAGCTCGTCGGCTGGCATCACCGCTGAAGATTCCCACATCTCCTCCCCGCCGCAGCTGCTGGTGATCTCATGCCGTCGTCCCCCGTCGTAGCAGAGCCTATGCCACGCCGTCGGGTGCCTTGGGCGCCGCCGCTGCCGCCGTCGTCGCCGCCGCTGCATGTGCCTCTGGCTCCGCCGCCACCCGGCGCCGCCGCTGTCATCGTCGCCGCCGCTGCTGCCACTGCCGCTGCCCCCGCCGCTGACGTCGGCGCCTCTCCTGCCGAGGGGTCGACACGCTGTAGCATCCCACAGCTGCGGCTGGGTATGGAGGTACTAGGGCTTGGGGGTGCTGGGTTTGTGGTAGTGCTGCCCTCACTCTTGCCTCTGTAAGTAGCGCCTACCTAGCCTAGGGGGTGTGTCAACATATATATATTTTATATATCTATATGTGTGTAGGCTAGGTAGATGCACTACAGTTCTGGATCTTACAGAAGAGAGGACAACCCCTTCTTGTACCTCTCTCTCTTTTCTAGTCCCTCCCTTTTCTCTCGCCACTTTCTTCCTACCTAACTAAACCCTCTCGTAATATGGCATTCATGTGACTTCGTGTGTGAAATGTTGTTCGGGGTACCTGTACTGGTAGTATGGAAGAAATTGGCCACCACCACACCATGATGGAATGGAAGCAGGCAAAGCTAAACCTCCGTCTACCAGTGTCAGCTCAGCTGCCACAATTGGAAGGCTGTGGATGTTGGCTTTACTGTTTGTTGGTTTGGTGGTTCCTTTACTTTCACTCTTTGGCTGAACCAGCTGCAGCTGAGTCATTATGCTGGCTGTACTTGGTGATTGGACTATCCATGGTAAGAATTCTCTTCGAAAGTTCCAAACAAAATCGTCTTGCATGCAACAAGTCTACGAACCTAAAGGCTACAACTGTTGTTACCCTGCTCGGAAGACCAAACGCCCTGGTGCTGCAGCAGCAATGCCTCTCTATGTCCTGTGCGAGTCTCAGAGTTAACGAATGACTAGAATGAGTGATACAAGGTGGGTTTGTACTAGTGTGTTGTATCCTCTAAGAGCATGCACCTATCTAGCCTATAATAACATATACAAATATGTCTGACACACCCCCTAGGCGAGATGAGGGGCACTGCCTGGCAAGAGACACGCAACTCAGGGTGGCACTACTAGTCCAACCTCTGAGGCAAGGGTCTGAAGACCAATCAGCAAGTGGACAAACTAAACAAGAGTAACACAGGGAGGCACTTCTACTCCAGCCACTGGAACAAGGCCCACAAGGCCAGTCAAGGTAATATATGATATAGTACTTAATCAAGGTCCTAGCACGTGAGAAGCTAAAGGAACTAGACCAAGCTGTACACAGTGCCACTGATGATCTTTAGGCGCAAGCGCCTTCGTAAAGATATCAGCTGTGTTGGCACCGGAGGCCAAGTGAACTACGCGGGGCTGGCGGCGCTGCTGTAGCTCGAACAGGAGGAAGTACCGCAGCTAGATGTGCTTCAGTCGAGGCTCCTAACACAGGAGGATCATAGCCATGTTGTCAGCATACAGGATCAGGGCAGAGCTAGGCCACTCACCTAAGTCCATGAGCAAGAAAGTCAGCCAGCGGAGCTCCTCTGCCGCCATGGCACCAGCATAGATTTCAGCCTCACAGCTAGCGTGGGCAACAGACGAAGAGTGGGTGGACCTCCACGAGTTAGCGCCTGCACCAAGGCTAAAGCAGTAGCCCTGGGAGGACCTTAGTATCTCAGTGTCATCTGCCCACGAAGCGTCTGTGTGCCCTGTAAGGACCACTGGTCTACGTCCTCCTAGCACCAGCCCCATGCCCGTTGTACTTGCTAGATAACGCAAAACCCTCTTAGCGGCCGACCAGTTCTGTGGTCGGTGTTTGCCTCTGGCCATAAAGCGAGCCAGGATGCTGAGACGGTATGCGAGATCTGGACGAGTGCAAGTCATTAGGTACATGAGGCGACCCACCAGCTCTGCGTACGGACCACTAGGATCTACTGACTCCTCAGGGATTGGAGCCGAGAGTCTGTGATCTACTGGCAGAGGTGTGGGCTATGCAGAGGAGAACTGGAGACCAAACATTTGAAGGACCTGATGCAACAAGTGTGACTATGTGAGAGTGATGGTGCGCGCTGCTCTGTCCCTGGAGATATGCAGGCCAAGGTAGTGGTGTAGCTCTCCTAGGTCAGCGCAGATGTGTCGCCTCGGCAGCTCAGCCTTCACAGAGACTAGCGCGTCTCTGTCTGCAGTAGCGAAGACCAAATCGTCTACTTAGACAAGGATGTAGAACAGGGTCTGGCCTGAACGAACGAAGAGCGAAGGGTCTGCAGAGGACGGGAAGAACTGTAGGTCAGCTAACGTAGCATGCAGTGTGTCGTGAAGCCTGGCAGGCGAAGCAGGTAGACCTGCTCGTGCAGACTGCCCTGAAGAAATGCTGTAGAGAAGTCGAGGGAGTGCAGCTTGTAGTCATGCTGTGCTGCTACGTATAGCAGTGCCTGACGAGTGGTCATCTTCGGGGTCGGGGCGAAGGTCTGAAAAAAGTCAAGACCCTCGCGCTGACTGAAGCCTCTAGCAACGTAGAGCGCTTTGAAAACCAGCAGCTCTCCAAGAGGGTGCTTCACCTTGAATGCCAGCGACCATCGACTAGGTTCACCCCAGGTGGGAGAACTGTGTCGATGTAGGTGCCGGTGGATCTCCAAGATGCCATCTCCTGCTCCATGGCAGCTATCCACGGAGAGGCCCAGAGTCCCGAGGTCGCCTCAGTATAAGTGCAAGGGTCGGGATGTCAAAGGTGTCAGGATCACCCTCAGGGACTAGCAGCATGGAGCAGAGATGAGGAGCGGCCTTAGACAGGAAAGCAAGCTCGTACTGCCGGTCCTCGAGGACGTCATTGCCGAGGGCAGGAGCACCCTTGGCGTTTGGAGGACGGGCAGGGTCAAAGACCAGAGTGGTGGTGTAGTCAAGGCAGCACGTATAGGCGAAGTCAGCGACGGCAACGACAAGAGCGTCAAGATTGGAGACAGGAACGGACGGGCCGGTAACTAGAGAGGCAAGGACACGAGGAATAAGAGGACTAGGTGCACGAAGGAAGTAAGACAGGGGAGGCAGAGCGACAACAAGGGATGACGGAGGAGGCGACGGGAAGAGGGGAGGGCGAAGCATGTGGGAACGGAACAACATAGGGTGAGAGCGCTGAACAAGAGAGACAGGACGAGCACGAGAGGGACGGTGAGACCAGAAGTGGGAGGCAGGCGTTGGGTCAAGAGACACAGGAGGAGAACAAGGGGGGAAACGAGCCAGTGACGAGTCCGGCGGAGGAAACACAGGGCCGTAGACAAGCGGGGGAGGCGAAGGCAGGTGGACAGGGGAGGGAAGACCAAGGAGGCGAAAGGCGGACACCGGCGGCGACTACTGCTGCTGCTCCACACCAATACTAGAACCTCCAACTGCACCACGGCTACCTCCGGGACACTCCACAACAGCACCCCTAGAACGAGAACCCTCTCCAGCGCTGTTGCCACCCCTAGGACCACCAGGACAAGCCACGACAGTACCCCCAGGACTACCAACCCCAGAACCAGCACCCTCAGAATGAGAACCCTCTCCAGCACCGGTGCCACCCCGAGGACCGCCAGGACAAGCCACAACAGTACCCCAAGGACTAGCACCCTCCTCAACGCATGCACCCCCAGAGCTTGCAGACCCCTGCGGCGGCGGCTGCGGCAGTGGCAACGACTGCGGCTGCTGCTGCGGCCACGACGGCGGCGATGGCTGCTGCTGCTGCGGCAGCTACGGCGATTGCTGCGGCGGCGGTGGAGGAGGAGACACTGGAGCGGAGAGGAGCAGGGGCTACCGGGGGAGTGGGGACCAAGAATAGGGGCGGGGCAGCCGGGAGACCTCGGTAGGGAGAGCGGGTGTAGAACGAGACAGACTCGACAAAAGTGACGTCACGAGAGTGAAAGAATTGGTAAGACGACACGTGGTAAAAGTGCCAGTCACACGTGTCGAGGGAAAAGCCAAGGAAGACATAAAGGACGGTGCGGGTAGTGAGCTTGTCCGTGCCAGAGGCACTAACGTGAGCAAGGCAGCCCCAGACATGGAACGCAGACGCGTTACCAGGGGACCCGGCCCAGAGGAGGGTTGGCTAAACCTGCGGCCGCTGGGAGTGTGGCCACAGGTTAAGCTGGTGAGCGGCGTAGCGAACAACGAACGACCACAGAAAATAGGATGCACCGACATGGATCATGGAGGTTTGAGCCACCTCATGACCGAACCGATGCGTCGCTCAGTGACCCCATTCTGCTGCGGGGAGTCGGGCAGGGTGTACGATTGGGTGATGCCCTCCGGATTAAAGAATTGGCCAAGCCAACTGGAGGCGGACTCGCCGCCACGGTCGGAGTGAAGATGCATCACAGGGAGGCTGCGATGGACTCGCGCAGCTACGATCCACGAGATAAGAACGTCAGGCATGTCAGCTTTACGCTCCAGGGAAAATACCATGGTATAGCACGTGTAGTCGTTGAAAAGCACTAGAAAGTAGTGCTCGCGACGCGGCCCAGGGACGGGGGCTGGGCCCCAGGCGTCCAGGTGCAGGTCTGGAGTGGCGCAGTGGTAGGGGGAAGTGAGGAGGAGTGAGGTGCACGACGCAGCCGGCCCTCGACGCAGGAAGTGCACGGCGGCGCAAGCGAGGGAGGGAGTGCAGGGAGCAACGCAGGGAGACCTAAGACAAGCCCGTGGTGGGACATGTGATGCAGACGCGGGAGGGCTGGGTGATCTAGGCGGTGGTGCCACAGCAGTGATGGGTGGGTGAGCGACCGGCACAAGCACGCCTCAGCAACCTGGCAAAGCACGCTGACCTGGGGGGACGCTCTCACCGGGGGGGACGCGGTGTCTAGGGTGAACATGCCAGACATCGGGTCCCGGGGGAACGTGGTAAGAGGGGCACCAGTGGCGGCCTCGGTACATACTGTGTACCGCTCGTGTCCAAGAAACGTAGAAGTGACCATGAGGTCCTGAAGACAGCTGACACCAATTAGGTTCCTGGAGAACGAGGGGATGTGCAAGCCGGTAAGAGAGCCCGAGGGAACCGTCGGACAGGGAAGGGTAGTGGAGCTACGTGCAACTACCGGACCTGAGGAGGGGTCAGCAAGCGCTACAATGGCAAGGGCGGCAAGCGGCGTGAGTGGAGTGTGGTCGCGAAAAAAGCAGGCGGACGCACCAGATTCTAGCTTGAAAGAGAGCACGGCAGTAGCGGCCGCAGGCAGAGGAGCTAGAGTGGAGCCGAGGCTAGACAAAGCGGGTGGTCCTACGCTTGAAGCAGTAGGGGAGCCTAGGCTATACACAGTGGACACACCTACACTAGGCAACACAGGATAATAGGGTCCACTGACACTAGAGTCATCGGCACGCATGACATACATGGTAGACCTAATCTGATCCATATCAAGCTCAAAGGCAGGGACAGGTCGACGCACCAGGCTGTACCAGTCGGGGGGGTCCGACTCGGGGCCGAAGCGGAGACGGAAGAGGTTGTCCAGACGGCGGCAGTAGCGGGCGGCGGTGTGACCGGGACGGTCACAGACGGTGCCGCGGCAGGGGCTGGGCTGAAGCTGGTACTGGAAGTGACCACACTGGAGCCGCCACCCGACACCGAGCTGCGCAGCTCACAACCACGACGACCACCACCAGCGCCGCCAGGCCACCACAGCGGCGGGGGTCCCCACGGTGGCTGCTGCTGCTACTGCTGCTGCACAAGAGCATAAGCTCCGGTCCCCTCGTCTGCACCACCGTCCCCGCCCCTACCTCGGGCACCTCTGCCACCCCACCCCCGCCACCCTTCCCTCCGCCACGCCCCCCCGTGGGGCGGCGGCCCTTACCCTGACACGGCTGTGCTGAGGCCGTGGCGACGGTCTCAGCAGCAGGGGCTGTCTTAGTGACAGCGGCGGAAACGTCAGAGTAAGTGCAATGGGAGGGAGCATAGCCCTGGAAGATAGGGACTACCGCAGTACCGCTAGACTGAGCAATAGTGCGCTGGCGGGTCTCTATCGCGGACAGGGCGGTGACAAAGGTGGTAGGGGTGAGGTCACCTGGGTGCTGACTAAGGAAGTGGTCGCGGGCAGTGGCTAGGCGGTCAAGAAGGCGCGTGGCAATGCGGTAAAGGGTAGCGCAACGCGGTGGTGGGACGGTAGTGAGCTGGGCCTCTGTGCTAGCGGCGCGGTAGCTAGTATCAAGTGCGCGGAGACGAGTGGCAAGCTCAGCGAGAGTGGGGAAGGACGCAAGATCAGGAAATAGCATGGGGATGATCAGAAGGTTGGCGGAGGCGGAGGAGGGAGTGGAATAGCACGCAATGACCGCATCTAAGTACTCCTTCGCATTTGCTACGGATGTAAAACGGGGACACTCAGACAGAGGGAGGGCGTGACTAATGGCAAGCTGTGCAACTGCGTCGTGCGACTCCCAGACAGCGCGGGCAAGCTCTGTAGCGGCAAAGGCCTCATGCTCAGCAGACATGGGTTTAGCGTTTAGGGTTTCGGGCTTATGGAGTGGCTATCCTGGCGCTGACCGGCGAGCTGGCGGCGGAGGTCGACGAGCCACGCCTCAAAATCAACCGGTGGACCCTCCGCGTCCAGGCGTAGCACCGAGTCCGCCATCACCACGGCTGCAGCAGTTGACTGCCGTTGGAGGGGGGAGGAAAGCGGCGGAGGGCGATGGAGAGCAGTGAAGAGCGGTGGAGAACGGTGGTGTGCGGTGGAGAGCGATGGAGAGCGGTGGAGTGCAGTGAAGAGCGGTGGAGCGCCGACTCAGGGGGAGCCAAGGCCAGCAGGTCGGGGCAGCAGCGCGGCTTGGTGTCACGACGGCTCGGCGGCGCGAGGGCGGCGCGGGCGAGGACCGACAAAACTGGGGTCGGCGGATCTGGGGGCCGGTGAGCACGGGGCTGGCGAGCGCGGGGCCAACAGGCGCGGGGGCTAGCGGGCAGGGGGCTACGGGCGGCCGGCGGCTACGGGCTACGGGCGGCCGGCGGCGATGATCTATGGGCGGCCTACGGCGACGGGCAGCTTGCGGCTACTGGTGGCCAGCGGCGACAGGCGGCCGGTGGCTACGGGCGGCACGAGGCGACGGGCGGCCAGCGGCGGTGCGCGGCGAGCGGCTAGCAGAGGCGGCTAGCGATGGGTGGCATGGCACGGGCGGCTAGCGACGGGTGGCTAGCGGCGGGCGGCTAGGGCTAGGACTAGAGCGGAAGCGCGGGTGGGCGGGGAGGACCTTACCTAGCGCGTGATAACATATACAAATATGTTTGACAGCGAGGCCCCGCCCCAGTGACCCACCGAGTCTAGTGATAGTTTGCAGGTGTGTTGCGCATCGGCAGCACTCACTTCATCCCGCGAGCATTAGAGAGTTGAAACCTTCGTCAGGCTGTGCTTTAGTCCATTTTTTAGGCGCCTCATACGGTAAATCGTAACCTCTAGCAGGCTGTGCTGTAGGAAGAACGCGCTGGTCCGGTCCGGTGCTTCTGCAGCGGCATTTGTGCGTGCCCTCCGTGTGACCCCAATGGCAATCAGGGCCTTGTGGCTTGTGGCTTGTGGCTTGTGGCTTGTGGCTTGTCTGCTGTCATTCACCTTCTAACCATCTGTGAATCAGCCGTGGCAACATTCCCAGTTGGTGAAGTAAGAACACTTCTATGCTCCTGCAGCAATGCCTTCTATGCTTCTGTCTGTGTGGCCCCAATGCCAATCAGGGCCTTTTGCACCTCCAGTCATGTCATTTCGCAACCATTCGAGAGTCGACGGCACCTTTGTCAGCCTGTGTACTAGTCAGAACACTCCGGTGCTCCTGCAGCAGCGCCTCTGCTCTCTGTGTTGCCCCAATGCCAGTCAGTGCCTTGTGCACCTGCATCACCATGCCCTCGTCCAGCTTCACTCCCAGCTCCAGCATACTGCCATACACCTGCAAGCATGCATGGAGAGAGCACAGACAGTCATGGAACAGGGGATTGGAAAAGGGGAGCAGCAATGCCAGTCAGCGCCCTGTGCACCTGCATCCCCATGCCCTCATCCAGCTTTACTCCCAGCTCCAACATGCTGACGTATGCATGCATGGAAAGACACAGCAGAGGGTAGGGAGAGGGGGAGAAGCAATAGTACTGAGTGCCTTGTGCACCAAGCTTCTGCTTTTTGGCTAGCTGCCATCGCTTCGAAAGGTGCCCTCATCTAACTTCACTCCCCACTTCAGCATGCCGCCATACACCGGCAGGCTGCATGCATACACATATATGCAGAGACAGGGGAAGGAAAAGAGGGAACAGCAATGCCAGTCAGCGCCCTTCCCTCTCTACATTTCCAGTGCAAACTGCCACACACCTGCAGGCACACGTGCACAGAAATGCAGACAATGTACTGAAGGGTGCACTGGAAACATGCACAATGCAGGGAGTTGCACAGCAGACGAGAGACGTACCTCAAGCACCTTGAGTGGCCGGCCCTGCTGCGCATACAGGCTCATCACCCGCGCAAACGTTGCCCGTGGCACCGTGTCCAGATGGCGGCCCATGATTCGCTCCCATGTGCCGTCCAGCTCAGCATGCCGGCCCATGGCTGCCATGGCGTCCATCATGAGGTCATACGTCCCAAACGTCCTTCCTTGGCCACGGGCCAGCATCCACTTGCACACCTGCAGAAGAGGGGATAGGAGGGGGAGGGGGGAGGGAGGGATTGGAGTGCGTCTCGGCTTCTGGCAGCCATGGCTTCCATCACGAGGTCGTACGTGCCAAACGTGCGGCCCTGCCCTGCCCTCTAGCAGCATCCACTTGCGCAACTGGGGGCAGCAACTAGGAGGGAAACGACAGAGCTCAGCATGTCGGCCCGTGGCTGCCATGGCTGCCATGGCTGCCACGGCGTCCATCATGAGATCGTCTGTGCTGAACGTCCTTCCCTGGCCACGGGCCGGCATCCCCTTGCACACCAAAGCGATAGACATGGGCTCTAAACCGAGCAGGCTCGGCTCGCCTTTTTGGCGCCCTCTAGCTACCATCCACTTGCACGCCAAAGCGGGGCCGCGGGGAGAGAGGAAGGCACTTGAGCACGTCGGCCTGTGTCGCTGCCATGGCTTTCAACCTGAGGTGATATGTGCCAAATGTTTGGCCCTGCCCTCTAGCTAGCATCCACTTGCACACCTAGAGGGAGTGCGTCGTGTTGAGGGACGGGCATCGCACATCGCGTGGACTCAAGTTCGAGTTCAAATTTCAAGCCCTAACCCCGCCAACCCCACCTTCGAACCTCTGTCCACCCCTCTCCACCTCGTCACTTCCCAATCCCTCCCAACTCCTCCTTGCGACGAGTTGGCCTCAAACAGAGTCAGCTCTCCTAGCATAAATTACTGCCATTTCAACATTCGATACTCATTTTCGCAGTTCCCTTTCTTACGTAGCTTGCGCGCCACCATGACTTCCAGCCCTACAGCATCACCCTCTCCCCCATCTGCTGAGGCAACCCGTACTTCCACCTGCCTGGAAAAAAAATTCCCCTGCCCGGGCCACCGTATTCTGTGCGTACCCGACCCCCTCCTCCTAAGCGTATTGCGTTTATACGCTCTTGTATAAACGCTTTCGTATAAAACGCGATACGCGTATATTCCAACTTAGGGTAGCACAAGGCGGGGGGGGGGGGAAGGGTTGAGGGACGTAGCACAGAATGCCGGCCCGTGCGGCTGCCATGGCGTCCATCATGAGGCTGTATGTGCCAAGCCAAACGCCCTTCCCTGGACACGGACCAGCATCCTCTCTTGCACACCTGGCGGGAGTGCGTCATGCGTGTGTCTGGAGAGGAGAGGAGGAGGAGGAAGCACTGCTCAGCAAGTCTGTCCCTTACTACCTGTGATATTGTCCTCCTCACCTGCAGTATTTTCTTCCACTCCCCCCCCTGCTGCACGATCCTGAGAGCGCGTTTCACAGCCAGCAGGGGGAAGTCCAGGTGAAAGGCCGCCCTCGCGTCTACATCCCCTCCTCAACCTCCTCGTTTCTCGTGGTGTTTTCCTCTCATTCATCAGCAGTACCCTCTCCTGCTCACCTGCAGTACTCTCTTCCACTCCCCCCCCTGCTGCATGATCCTCAAGGCCCGTTTCACGGCCAGCAGGGGGAAGTCCAGCTGAAAGGCCGCCCACGCGTCTAGAGCACGATACACGTCCTCCTTGGTGTCTGGCGTGTCACGAATCTGACAATAACGAGTACAAAAGGGAGTTGTTTGTAAAGTCTTTTGGAGGTCTGAGAGCATAAATCTGAAAGCAGGATTGTGGGTGAACGCCCGAGCAAGCGAACGAGTGAGTGAGTGAGGGAGTGAGGGAGTGAGTGAGTGAGTGAGGGAGGGAGTGAGGGAGGGAGTGAGTGAGTGAGGGCGTGCGAAGGCATGCATGCACACTCACTCACAGCAGCAATGAGCGCATTGGCCCTTCCCCCAATGTTCCGTGTGTCCTTCTTCTGCCATGAGCACAACATGCGCTGGCAGGGGGTGGGTGGGGAGAGGGGAGGAGAGGAGGGGGGGAGGAGAAGAGGAGGGGAATGGGCAGCAGGGAGCGAAGGAGACAGGGGGGGCTCGCAGCATGAGTGCTCTAGACGTGCCCCTAATTTTCCCTGTGTCCGACTTCTGCCATGAACAAAGCACGCGGGGAGCGTGGGAGGGGGGGAGGGGGGGAGGGGGGGAGTGGGGGATGGTTTTCCCTTTGCACCAATGCTCCGTGCGTCCTTCGTCTGCCATGAGCAGAACACGCGCTGCAATGGGGTGGGTAGCTGGGTCGTAAGGAAGGAACGCAGGGGGAGGAGGGGGGAGGGGGGGGGGGGGGGGGGGGGGGGAATGGCCGAGGAAGGAATATTTTTCCTTTCCCCCAATCGCACCAGCGGCCGCGGCGCGTTAGTATGTCCCCGTTGCCGGTCCGCGTGTTAGCCTCCCCACTTGTGGAACGAGCGGGTCACGCAGTTGGGGGTGCAGGCAGCTAGTACGCCCGGTGTGAGCGTTTCTCACCAGCGGCCGCGGCGCGCTAGTATGCTCTCGTTGGCGGTCCGCGTGTGTCCCCACTTGCGGAACGAGCGGGTTCCAGAACCGGAGGCGGGAACCAAGCGATGTGACTGTAGCGGGTGTGACGAAAGCGCGCGTTTGGAATCGGGCAACCGCCCTGGAAGCGGCTAGCCGGAGCATTGGACGGCAGGGCAGGGAAAGAGTGGGAGCGCGGGCTACAGAGCAGAGTCGCCGGTTATGGCAGGACGGGCGCAAGCGTTAGCGTTAGCGTCAGCGTCAGCGGACTGAGAATGGTCTAAAAACGGTCTACGGCGAGACTGGGATCGGGATTAGACTAGCTGAGTACATCAGAAAGGCTCTGACGAAACGAGGCTGGAAGGAGCGTTAGTGTCGCTAATTGGACGGAGAACGGTCTGCACGGGTGTGGGGAGGAGGGGGTCACGAGAGACGCTGGTTGAATGAGAGTCGAGATTCGAGATTCGAGACTCGAGACGAGAGGCTGTGTTGCGAAACGACGTCCGTCCGTCCTTAGTCTGGGTTTCATCGCGCCAATTCCGAAACCCAGTGTAAGGAATTAGTAATTCCTTACACCGAGGCTTGCTACAGGGCGTACGATTCGAACAGTCCCGAACCAGCGATAGGGTTCCAGACCTTTCAGTTAGAGCCTCCTGGGCCTTTCCGGACCTCGTTTCGACACATCGAGGCCCTTCGACACTTTTTCCGAACCTTCTGATCCTACGTCCAGGATCACCCTAGGTTTCCTATATATCGTGTTGTCTTTCATTTTATTGTCATTCACTCGTTCACATTTTCGCCATTGCCCTCCGCGCTACTCGGCAGTTCCATTCAGAACACCCAGTTTCGGAAACCGCAGAAGATAGTTTCGAACACCCAGTTCCGAAACCAGCATACACTGCCTGGCCGACTGTGGAAGGAACCTCCCGTTTCGAAACTGGAGGTTCCAAACTTCAAGCGTTTGAACGACGTGCGAAGAGCTTATCGGCGATTTGACGAGAAATGTTCGTTCGCAACCAATCACCACCCACAAACATTGGAGCAATGCTCCAATTTGTCATGTTGTGATTGGTCCTGATGACGCGAGAGAATATGGTACTGTTGCACTAATTTGATGTCTTTCGTGAGCTTCGCATGAATTTTCGCTCGCAACTGGATGGAGAAACTCGAACGGCTGTCCGAACGACCGTTGGAGAGACGTGTCCGGACGGTAGTGTAACATTGAGTTTCGGAACTAGTCGCAATGAGGTTCGCGAACTCTCTACCGAATAAGCACGACAGCTGTAACTTGTTTCGCCGACAGACGGGACTCAGTTCCGAACCACAGGCTAAAATAACACACCTTGGGCGCTCTTGAACTGAGCTTTTTTTGTGGTCAAAACAAACGGGCCGTTTGTCGCAACAAACGCTCAGAACAATATGTTGAGAGACCCGCTGGGGTTACCCTTTATAAGATTCTCGGGGAAGGGTTACAGGTGCAGAGCCTGGGGGGCTATAGGCGCACTGACCCACTATTAACAAGCCCTTTTAACTCAGTGGTTAGTGGCTGAGTTTCAGATTTGCGATCAGAGCATTGGTGACTCGGGTTCAATTCCCGGTGCTAGTGCTGAAGAGGTGCCCATGTCCTCTGCCTATCCCAGTGAGGGGGGTGTCGAGAGACCCGCTGGGGTTACCCTTGAGAAGATCCTCGATGAAGGGCCACAGGTGCAGTGCCTGGGGGGCTATGGGCGCACTCACCCGCTATTAACAAGCCCTTTGAACTCAGTGGTTAGTGGCCGAGTTTCTGACACACTACTCTCCCCTCTACGCGAAAAGAAACATGTTGCGACAATGTGAAACACTGCGAGTGGAAAATCCAGCACACAACACCAGCAACAGCGCCACAAGAACAGGCAGCAGAGTGCCGTCCCCCCACCGGCATGGAATCCTCTTCCCTTCTCCCCACAGTAACCACTGCTGCTGCTGTCCCTCCTCCCCCTGTCATCAAGTCTCTCTCCTCTGCCGCCTCCCCTCCTACCGCCAACCCTCCATACACCCCTGAACCTGCACACCACTTCCTTTTTCCATGCTCCGCTTCTCCACCCCGCCCAGTGCCTGTCTCTCTCCCCTCTGGACTCGGCTCAACAGCTGACCCTCTCCCCTACTGTAACCACGGCACCCGGCGTTTCTTCCCACCCCTGCTGTGGCAACAGCTGCAGTGTTGATCACGTATTTTCATGGCATAATTTGGGACAGATGCGAGACACTTTTCCCGCCACCTGTCCCAAACCTCACCTCGCTCCTAGCCAAAAGGTGCAACTGTCCCGGAAGACACCTGTGCGATGTTCCCACGGGGAAGACTCATGTTCAATACCCGCCCTCCACATCACACCCAAATTAGCACACACAAGAACCGCAACGTGCAAGCCTGCCTCCCTGACGGTTGCGCGGTACATTATCATTTACAACTAATCTAATGTGACATGGCAGATCTCGAAGATCGTGATAATAAATACGACCGGCAACAAGCTAACCCGGATTCTTCGCGCGGCTACAAGAGCAGCGCCCCTAGAATGTTTACAATCAAATCAAGAGAATGCGTACAGTATACCCAACAACAGTTGTAGGACAGACAACAGCAGTTTCCAACAGCACTAGCATAGTACTGTCAAACATGTGTAGTTATCATGTTTGTATACACTGTATAGGGTCACCTCCTAGAGAGTACAACATTTAGGTATATGTTTTTGTACTCTCCCTCTCTATTCATTCAATTCACTGTTTGATATGGTATCACGCTTAGGTAGGATCCCCCCCCCCCCCCCCCCCCCCCCCCCCCCTCTCACGCTTCCGCGCGCCCCCTAGCTGGGCCCCGTCGTGCTCCTAGCCCCGTCGCGACCCTCCCTAGCACCGTCGCGCCCCTTCCTGGGCCCCGTCGCGCCCCTTTCTGGGCCCCGTAGCGCCCCTCCAGGGCCCCGTCGCGCTCCTCCCAGGCCCTGTAGCGCCCCTCCTGGGCCCCGTTGCGCTCCTCCCAGGCCCCGTCGCGCCCCTCCCAAGCCCCGTCGTGCTCCTCCCAGGCCCCGTAGCGCCCCTCCTGGGCCCCATTGCGCTCCTCCCAGGCCCCGTCGCGCCCCTCCAGGCCCCGTCGCGCCCCTCCCAAGCCCCGTCGCGCCCCTCCCACGCCCCGTCGCGCCCCTCCCAGGCCCCCCCCTCGCGCCCCTCCCAGGCCTCATTGCGCCCCTCCTGGGCCCGTAGCGCCCCTCCTGGGCCCGTAGCGCCCCTCCTGGGCCCGTAGCGCCCCTCCTGGGCCCGTAGCGCCCCTCCTGGGCCCGTAGCGCCCCTCCTGGGCCCGTCGCGCCCCTCCTGGGCCCGTAGCGCCCCTCCTGGGCCCGTCGCGCCCCTCCTGGGCCCTGCCGCGCTCCTCCCTGGGCCCCGTAGCCACCCTCCTGGGACCCGTCGCGCCCCTCCTGGGCCCCTTCGCGCCCCTCCAGGGCCCCTGTCGTCCCCCCTCCCCCTGGGCCCCGTCGAGCCCCTCCTGGGCCCCGTCGCCCCTGCTCGGCCCCGTCGCCCCTGCTCGGCCCCGTCGCCCCTTGCTCGGCCCCGCCGCCCCTGCTTGGCCCCGTCGCCCCAGCTTGGACCTGTCGCGGCCTCTCGGCCCCGTGGCGCCCACCAGGCCCCTGTCGCAGCTGCCCGGCCCCTGTCGCACCTGCCCGGCCCCGTCACGCCCGCCCGGCCCCGTCGCCCCTACCCGGCCCTGCTGTGTCCTGCCCGGCCCCGTCGCTGCCGCCCGGCCTTGTCGCTGCCGCCTGGCCCCGTCGCAGTCGCCCGGCCCCGTCGCAGCCGCCTGGCCCCGTCGCAGCCGCCCGGCCCCGTCGCTGCCGCCTGGCCCCGTCGCAGCCGCCCGGCCCCGTCGCAGCCGCCCGGCCCCGTCGCTGCCGCCTGGCCCCGTCGCAGCCGCCCGGCCCTCGTCGCAGCCGCCCGGCCCCGTCGCTGCCGCCTGGCCCCGTCGCAGCCGCCCGGCCCCGTCGCAGCCGCCCGGCCCCGTCGCAGTCGCCCGGCCCCGTCTCAGCCGCCCGGCCTCGTCGCTGCCGCCCGGCCCCGTCGCAGCCGCCTGGCCCCGTCGCGCCTGCCCGGCCTCGTCGCGCCTGCCCGGTCACGTCGCGCCTGCCCCGGCCCTCCATCCTTCCTGGTACTGTCCCCCGTTCCCCGCACCACTTTGCACCCTCCTGCACTTTCCTGCCCCGCCTTGCACCGCATTGCACCTCACTGGACCGCACTGACCGCACTGCACCGCACTGGACCGCATTGCACCGCACTGCATCGCACTGCACCGCACTGCACCGCCCTGCACCGCACTGCACAGCACAACACCGCACTCCACTGTCCTCCACTGCCCCTCATGGCTGCTGAGCTTCGTTTTGATGCTGAGGGTCAGCCTCTGGAGTTCGAGGCGTGGTTGGCTGACCTTCGCCGCCACCTCACTGGCCAGCGGCAGGACGGCCACCCGCTTTCTGCACACCTAGACGGTATGCTCCCCTGCCCTGACCCCCCTGCTGTGCTGCCCGCTGATCCCACGCCCGCTGAGCGCGAGTCCACTGCCGCCGCTGCCCTTGCCCGCTCTGTCTGGCTTTCCCGTGATGCCCTTGCTCAGCTCGCCATTAGCAATGCCCTCCCCCCCCCTGAGCGCCCTCGCTTTAGAACCATTACTACCGCCCAGGCCTACCTTGATGCTGTCATCAAGCGCTATTCTACCCCTCCTGCTGCCTCAGTGGGTCGCCTGATCCTCCCCCTGCTCTTTCCTGACCTGGCGTCTTTCCCCACTGTCTCTGACCTCGCTGCCCACCTGCGCTCGATAGATGAGGCCTGGCGCGCTGCCTGCACTGATGCACAGCTTAGAGTCCACCAGCCTCCCATGACCTCTACCCTCTACCTCCTTGCCACCCGCCTACCTGACCGCCTTGCCGCCGCCCGCGACCAGTTCCTTAGCATCCACCCTGCTGCTCTCACCCTCACGGACTTTGTTGCCACCCTGACTACCATAGAGACTCGTCACCGCTCCATAGCCCAGGCGAGCGGTACAGTACCGGTCCCTATCTTCCAGGGTTGTGCCCCCGCTCAGTGTACCTTCTCCGACGGCTCTGTCGCTGTGGCTGAGACTGCTGCTGCAGCGCAGTCCCGCTCGGGGAAGGGCCGCCGCCCCAAGGTTGGGAGCGGCGGGGGTGCGGGTGGGGGTAGTGGTGGAGGCGGGTCGTCCGGTGCCGGTGCGGACGTGGGGACCCTGCCCGGTCCAGCTGCCCCGCTGCCTCCACTGTTGCAGCAGCAGCAGCAGCAGCAGTCGCCGCAGCCGCAGCCTCCGCAGCAGCCGCAGCAGCCGCCGCAGACGAGGCCGGCGAGTGCTCTCCCGCCTGGGTGGCCTGGAGCTGGTGGTGGTCGTGCGCGTGGTGGTGCACCGGGTGGTGGTTCTGGAGGCGGGCCCTGTCAGTACCAGATCCAGACCGGTCCTCGCCGCGGTTTCGTTTGCGGTAAGATCGGTCATTCCACTCC